ACATGAAAATGTCGGAGGGGATGTGGAAAAATAAGACACTAATACACTGTTTGTGGGACTGTGATCTGATCCAAAGAGTTATAAAACTGTGTATACCCTTTGACCCAGGGGAAAAAGGAAAAGAACCTCTATTTGTAGCAACTCTCTTTGTGGTGGCAAAGAATTAGAAACTGAAGGGATGCCCACCAGTTGAGGATTGGCTAAACAAGTTGTGGTATGTGATTGTGATGGAATACTGCTGTGCTGTAAGAAATGGTGAGCAGGTGGATTTTAGAAAAACATGAGAAGACTTGCATGAAATAGTAAAGAGTGAAATGAGCAGAACCAAGAGAATGTTGTATATAGTAACAGTAATATTGTTCAAAGAACAGCTGTAAATAACTTAAGTTATTCTGAATATTATGAATACTCCAATCAACTACAAACGACCTATGAAGGAGGATGTTACCCACCTCCAGAGAAAAAACTGATAAATAGAAGTGTATGATAAATAAATAGTTTTACCTCTGTGTGTGTGTTGTGTGTGTGTGTGTGTGTGTGTGTGTGTGTGTGTAAGTAATGAGAGAGAGAAATGGTGGCCTTCTCTAGTGTGGGGTGTGGAGGGAAAAAAGGAGACACTTTGAAACTTAGAATGTAAAAACGAATAAATAGAGAAAACAACAGCATAAGTATAGGGTGACAAATGCATGGGTAGGCAATGGTTCATATTAGAAAAAAACAAAAGCAAAAAATAGGATGAGGAGGTTTTAGCAGGCTGCAAAGCTCGGTGGCAACCAACAGTGTGAAATGTCAGCCAATCCCAAGAGCCATCCTAAAATGTCTTAGTAGTAAGTACACTGCTGTGTCAGAGCTCATCCAGGTGGAGGGCAGAGAGGTAGAGCACCTAAAACAATACTCTTTCAGTATCAGTTGAAGGACCTTGGTGGGGATGTTTAGCCTAGAGAAGAGAAAACTTGGAAGAGGAGCATGATTGCTGTCCCTGAGCATTTGAGGGATTAAATTGGTTTTAATGACCTCAGAGACAGACTTCAACTGCTTATTAAAGACTTGGGCAAAGGCTCGCTGTCTAGGAGTCTTATGGACTACCTAATAAGATCGTTGGAGGTGTTCAGCCAGAGGCTGGCTGTCCACTTTTTAGACATATTACTGATGATATTCTTGCTCAGGTAGAACCTGAAGTCCTTTCCATTTCTTGTTATCCTCTTAAGTCTTGCTGTTTTGCTATGCTGTTAGTAGCCTGTTAATTTTTTAATCTCTGGATAAATAAGAACCCTGAAGAATATTGCCTGTAACTCATTTTAATTTTTGCTGTCATCCTATACTTAGCCTATAAAAGAGCTGAATTAACAGAATTATTTCATCAGTCAGAAAGACTGATCTTCCTGAGTTCAAATATGGGCTCAGAAATTAATAGCTGCATGACCCTCAACAAGTCAACTTAACCCTGTTTGCCTTAGTTTCCACACCTATAAAGTGAGTTGGAAAAGGAAATGGTAAACCGCTCCAGTATCTATGCCAAGAAAACCCCAAGAGTCAGACATAACTGCAATGACTGAACAACAAAAAATTTCATCTTGTTTTGCTTTCACTATCTCTTGCTTTTATCCCTTTCCCTCTCCTCTTGTTCTTCCCGTTTTTCTTTTCCCTTCCCCCTTGTATATCCTTTTGCCTTATTCCTCTTTTTTCCTTCCTTCACCCTACTCCCAGGATGATAGAAGTAGCCCGCAGAAATGTTGTGAAGGTTGTGCTCTCTGAACTCACAAAGCACTCTAAAAAAAGAGAATTCACTGTGAAATCATTGAGTAAGATAGCAGAACAAGGAAGGGGTGACGTGGTGGATGATGCGCAAAGCAAAATCAGTGACCTGAGTAATGGAGTGTGTCTTTGGTAGTCGGCGTGAAGTCTCAGAGTTTCTGTAAACATACATCTTGAGACATATCAGACTTCTGTAACCTCTTCTGGGAGGAGTGCCTTGGTCCACCCTCTGGTTACTAGTGCACAATGTGATAAATTAGTTATGCATTTCCTGTGTGTGTGTGTGTGTGTGTGTGTGTGTGTGTGTGTGTGTGTGTGACACACAGACATGCTGATATTGGTTACCAGTAGAGAGAGACTTGAGTCAGATTAAAAATGACAATTTGTGCTCAGTGTGAAGGCTCTGCTACCAGAGAAGCCTTTAGAAGTAATTTCTAGGTTGAGAGTAGAGAGCCATTTTTAGCCTGGATCATTACATAGAAAGATTCCACTGAGCCTTGCTCAGCTCGAGGGGTTGGGCGAAGGGCAGATGTACATGCTTTAGCCACGTGATTTCATCAGGGTAGCGGCTGCCAATCCTCATTCCACACTTCCAGTAAACAGACTCCAGCCTATTCTGTTTCATCTTCTGCCCAGTGAATAAATTAGGTCAAACAATTACCACAAAAGGAAAAACAAGACCTTAGGAGGTTGTTTCTGCAACCAGTAAAGTTGCTTAGCAGCTAACAATAGAAGACTAGCCCCAAACCAGTCATGCCCTGACTGATGTTTTCCTGAAAAATGGTTAATATTTGTGTTTACAAAAACCAAAAGCCTGAACACTCTGATTTGTTTCCCATCTCTGATTGAACAGCAAGAGCTATTCTTGCAGTAATGCAGTCCCTAATTAGAATGAGTTGCAAGGGATTCTTTTATTAAATGGGCAATCTAAGACTCACCTACTTTATATTATTAAATTCCACACAACCTTGCTCAGTATACACAATTTCTGTTTCTATTTCTGCACAGGTCTCCAGTGTCCAGCACCTCTTATTACTGCTTTAGTTGTAATTTCGTGTAGTTTCTTAGATATTCATTTTTTCATCTCTTTCCTTGAGTGAGTGAGGCTAGAATTACAGGCCTGGCATGATTACGTTTTCCTAAAAACCAATCTAGCATCAGATTGTTTGAGAATCCAACGAATGTCAGCTTCTTCAACTTCAAAATGGGGTAGGATCCTCACGGTGCGTGCAGGTATATCGTGGTTTGTTGTATGGTGCAGTTATAGAATTACAGAGTATTATATAGAATCTGAGGACTCCATGGGGCTTCATAACCTAAGTCATCCTCCTTTGTGCTTCAAACCCCACTGCGAATCGGGCACTTCACCTTGAGAGCTGACATGTATGACCAAGCTTTTAGGTTTACCAAATCCCCCACGATCAGTATCGATCTCCCTTCACAAAACAGCTCAGAAAGGCAGACAGTGCAGTCGTCCATGGATCCCTCATCTCCTCAGTGTGCATTGGTACAAAGCACAACCCATTCCTACCTTCACATCGTGAGATGCTCGTCCACATCTAATCATAAGTAGCGGTGTAAATGTTCTTCCTTCTGTTTTGCACACGAGGAAACCAAGCTTCAAACAGGTCAGTTTGCCTGGCCTGTAGTCACACAGATGGCAAAGCTGAGATGCTTGTAGAAAAGTGATACTCTGGTGTTTTCTTCCTAGCTGATAGATTAGGCAGCAAGTTATACAGTGGTGGAGGGCTAGACCTGGGGTCAGGAAGAACTGAATTCAAATTCAGCCTTAGCTGCTTACTAACTGTGACCCTGGGCAGGTCTGTTGACCTGTTTCCTCATCTGTAGAATGAGGATTATAATAGCACCTAATTCCCAGGGTTGCTGTAATGATCAAATGAAATAATATTTATAAAGCATTTTACCAATTTACCATTTATAAAGCACTATATAAATGTTAGTTATTATTATTATTATTAGATGAACCAGTTCTGGTCTAGGACTTTTAAAAAAAGTGACCTAGGTAGTGATGAATGCAATTCTAGCTAATAAATAAATACTAGAAATAGCTGATGTGATGGTGTGGTAGAAAAATCAGTGACCTGCAGTGCTCTTTCAGACACAAATGTCGCAGGTTGCATGACACATAGAGGGCAAGTCTATGAAGCAAAACTGGGCTCTGCAGACTTTTCTCTTTTCCCTTTGTAGCCATCCTTTTCCTATTCAGAGACACAGCTAGTCAAAGTTCAGGAAGTTTAGTGTTTTTAGTTTTGAATGAAATTATAGTTTTTGAACAGATGAGAGCTTGAGGCAAATCTGAATGTATTTACTTCGAGATAGATGGAGCTGCCTCTTGAGCTACTTAATGCTATTTTAGTTAGTTTGTTTCCTGTCTGAATGGATTTTGTTCGGTTTAGTCTATACTGTGCTTAATTTGATGATTGAAAATCTGCTATTTTTGCCCCGAAGAATTTCATAGTAGTTCAACTCTCACTGCTATTTTTTAGTTCAAACAGACCACATCCATTTGTGCTGTCTGCATGGTCCAAATGGAACAAAGCAGAAAGCCGTCATCATTAAGCTGGATAATGTGAAACTCTGCTTCATGTGTTCTTAATGCATTCCAGATAGTCTTTTAAATTTTAAAATTGTAACACCTTTTTAAGATGGTGTCCTGTTCCTGAGCCCAAAAGGTCTACAATTCACAGCTCCTCTTGAGTATGTCCAAATGGGAGCAAATGGAAAGGTTCCTTTTTCTGCCACACAGAAGACCTAAAACAAATGAGAGTTGAAAAAAATTTTATTTTCATTTCTAGCAAGGGCTGGAAAAGGGCAGCTAGAAATGCAGCAATTGCAGTAAATAAATAAAGCAGATGAATTATTTTAGAAATAACGTGGCCTTGAAAAGAGAACAAGCCTGGGAAGAAGGAGATGACAGCTAAATGCCTGGGGAGGTGCTGTGTTCATGCGTGGTTGGGATGGCACTTGTCTCCAGATGGTTTGAGGGTGTCCAGAAGACTTAAGGTTTTCCTTTCCGTTAGAACTTTTTGTAAAGCTTCGGCTTATTTCTTTTTTTGGTTTTGTCTCTTAGAATGAAAAGTAGCAGCCATAGTTTTACCCAGGTACTGAGTGTGGTACTAAGAATAATTTGCAATTGAGACTACTAGACCTTTAATTCCCATATGTGATGTTTGTGAAGTGGTGCTCTTTTTTTCAGCCGGTATCTCTTGTTTCTTTTATTTCAGCAGACAGAAGGAGGGGCACAGACAGACGGACAGCAATCACAGACACAGAGTAGTGAGAATACCGAGAGTAAATCTACCCCTAAACGATTGCATGTCTCCAACATCCCCTTCCGATTCCGGGACCCTGATCTCCGGCAGATGTTTGGGGTAAGTCTCTGGTATGCATAAACGCTTATCAAATCAAGGTAAAGTGAACCTCAAGTCATTTTAAAAGATTTTACAGTTGTCATGTAAATCACCCCAAGAGTATATAAATTATCAAAACATTTGCTTAGTGGAATGGCCTTACAGATAAACTGAGAAAAATCTTTAGGCCTCAGAATATTTTCATGAGCCTAAAAAATGTAGGTTAGAGGCTCATTTTAAGGATTCTACTACCCCAGTGATTCTGGGATACACATCTTGGGTATCTTTTTGAGAATGAAATACAAAAGAAACATTTCCTAGTAACCCCTAGGTTGCCCTCTCTACTACCCAAATTTTATAGGACATTCAGGAAATAAAGTACCTATTGCAAAATTGTCCCTCTCTTCTGATCACATCTCTTGACAAGAAAAGTTGGTGGAGTCAGTAATGTAGGAAGGTGACACACCTCTGTGACTGACTAGTGAGGTCTTAAATCTCCAGTGGAAAACAGATCCCACCAACCCAGCCTCGTAGGACTCTGCCATTCACAAATCAGCATGGCCAAACAGTTATCTGTATATTCAAAGAGAATGATTCTTCATTTCCATGCTGCAGTACAAAATGAGAATGAGCTAAAGTGGGTCTTAAAATAGAGTAAGTAGGCTTGGAATCAGGAATGGAAGATTTTCTTGTAGGAATCATTTTATTTTGTTTTATTTTATTTTATTTTATTTTATTTTATTTATTTTGGCTAGGCAGTGGGGTTAAGTGACTTGCCCAGAGTTACACAGCTAGTGAGTGTTTTGTGTCTGAGGTTGGATTTGAACTCAGGTCCTCCTGACTTCAGGGCCAGTGCTCTATCCACTGTACCACCTAGCTGCCCCTAGTAGGAATCTCTCTCTTTTTTTTTTTAAAGGCAATTGGGGTTAAGTGACTTGCCCAGGATCACACAGCTAGTAAGTGTCAAGTGTTTGGTCTGAGGCCGGAGTTGAACTTCGGGTCCTCCTGACTTCAGGGCCAGTGCTCTATCCACTGTGCTACCTAGCTGCCCCTAGTAGGAATCATTTTAAAAAGAAAAAAATATTTTTCTTCTCCATCAAGTCATCATCAGTAGTGTTCTAGGATTTGAGGAATAGCAGTCAGTTGTAGAAGAGACAATTCCCAGTCTAGAGGAGCAGCAGTCTGAGTCAGGTGCTGCACAGTATGAAACATTAAACAGTTTCTTAAGCAAGGAAAAAAACTCTTAAGAATCACAGCAAAAAAAGACAATGGAAGGAGCCTTCTATGGCCATATTGGAGTCTCTTTTAAGCCCACAGATCTCTGGATCTTTGAATAATATTGCTCACAGTGGGGCAGGGAGAGAAGAGTGGGAAAGGGAAGGTGCTCAATTAGCCTTGCTCTACACTCTGCTGTCTTTATGGTGGTGAGCAGAGCAAGGCAGAGCCCAGGGACTCGGGAACCTGTTGACCCCCTTGAGCCAGAGGCTGACCCTTGGCTGTGGGAGTTTCTGCGTGGGTACATATAGGGACATGTGGTTTCTTCCCCTGGCTTAGTCACCTTGAAGGAAACAGAGAAGATTGCATTTTCCTCTCAGCTGTGGTTTGATTCCTTGGCTTAGAAAACAGAAGTTTGCCCTCTCTTCCACTGCCCCCTCCCCAAAGCCCTGAATTCTGTTAGTCCGTGTTTATGAATGAATTTTGTAGAAAGATCATTTATCTTGGGTCCCATGCTCCTCATGGTGAAGGCAGTACATTGTGTTCAGAACATCAGAAGTCTAGATTCTTGTCTGTGAAGGAGCTTAGACTCAAATGACCTTAGTAGCTATAGGAACTTTAGTAAATTTCAACTTTTCTTGGTCTCTGTGTCTTTATCTGTAAAATGGGGGTGAGAGTAGACCCTCTGCCACATCTTTCCAGCTAAAAATCTCATAGTCCAATTTTGATCATCTGTCTCTATTGGCTCTTTGAAATTATTCAAATTAATATTTTCCACTAGAGTGACTAGTACCCATTTTATGACCCAGATGAAAAGAAAGAATTTGTCAGCCATACCGCTTTTGGTTCTGGCCTGCTTGGTTTTGCCACTTGGCCAGTAAGACACATAAGCCCCCTTGGGACCATGATACTGAGTTCACCTTTTACTGCTCGTCATTTCACAGAAGGTCTGAGAACCTCTCAATGTGTTGAGATAACCTTCAGCCAAGGGGTTTCCCACTTTTTTCTTGGTGTTATTTCCTTCACATCATATTTTAGAAAGTCTAGAGCAATAATATGAATGTGTGATTCCACTGACCAAACAGTTTTACTGAAATGAATCTTCAGTTTACTCTGAAGAGGCTTTAGTAGAACAACACTAGTTAGAAGGCTCTTGCAAGCTCCTCTGCATTTTGGGTGTGTGTTGATTTCTTCACTACCATCTGAAAGCTAGAAAATCTATTCTTGAAACTTTTCCCAAGATAGCATTAATAGGAGAAAAAATTTTAAGAAAAGAGATGAGTGGAAGGACAGAGGAAGGAGAGAACCAGGTTCACCAAGAGAAGCAGAGGAACCTGAAGGTCTTCCATCTCACACCCAGCAGAGCACAGAATGACAGGGTCTAGAGCTGGAAGAGAGATCCCAGAGACCATCTGGTCTCCCCTCCTCCAGAGGCCTTGCCCAGGGCCACCCAGGGAGACAGGCTGGGGTGCCAGCCCAGGGCTTTTGTCTCCATGCCACTGCTTTTTCCAGAGTAGCACCTTGCTGGTTCAGAGCAGAGGTGGATTTGTATGTAAATCAGTGATTTCTAAAAAAGAAGGAATTAATCTGAATGAGATTATTTTAAAAAAAACAAAAATACAAGCAAATTTCTGACCATCTTCTATGCCCCTAGAGGTTACAGAATCCTAGAATTTCTAGGTGATCTAGTTCAGTATCTTTTTTCCAGACAAGACTGAATCAAAAAAAAAAAAAGGTGTCTAGACTTGCATTTATATGGTATTTCCCCTCAACAGCCTGGGGAGGCTGCTAGTGCAAATATTATTCTACCCATTTTACAGAGGTGAGAAAATGGTGACTCTGGTTCTTTGAAGCCCCAATTCACATAGCTAATCTGTGTCAGAACTGAGGTTCAGACTCAGGCCTCCTGATTTTGTGTCCACTTGGTCTTTCCACTAAACTGTGGTGCCCTACTCCTTTAGCAATCACTTCTAGGCTTTATTAATATTAACCATCATTTAGATCTTTGTCATCTCGGCTGCTTTTACTTTGAGCCCATTTGCTCTAGTTCTGGGATTTTTGTGTTCTTGGTGGTGATTAAGAAAAAAAAAACTTTGTTCTATCTCTAGATTGATTCGCCCCTCATGAGCCATCGTTTTGACTCTTAGCCTTTCACATAGGTTCTCTTTTCATCTTTTCCCTCATTTTGGCTGCTCTTTTTATATACCCTTCCAGAGTTCTTAAGGAAGCAACTACTGCTGCCTCTGCTGGAAGCATTATTGCTATCTACACAGCATATCCCAGATGCAGCCTCGTATTTTTAGTTTTTCTGTCTCAGCAATGCTTTGTGCCTTGTTTTCAATTTGATGTCCACCGTGACCTCCAAGCTATTTTTTCCTCCATATATATATACAGTCATTCCTTACCTGGAGTTTGAATTATTCATTTTTGTTGAGTGGCTTTCTTAATTTGATCTTTGAGACAGCATATTTTTGATGAGTTATTTCTCTGTATTGTCCAAGTCACTCTTGATTTTTTTACCCTATCATCTAGCCCCCTGAAGACTCAGTGTTGCCTGAAGAGTCAGTGAACATTCCGTCAATCCCATTTCTCCAAGTCATTAATTAAATGCGTTAATAACATAGTATTCCCCAGTAATACACACTAGGTTTTGGGTTGTTTTGGGTGTGTTCTTTTAGCCATTTGTGCAGTTTCTGAGAGATTGGTGTAGACTTTATATCCCAACTTCATTTTTCTGCATGATAAAGTTCTAAAAGTTTTTACTAGGAACTTATCAAAAACTTTCTTTCAATAATTAATTTTTGCTAAGTGAGATTTGTTCCTTAGTACTAAGATTTTTAATGTGAACAGTAATACACAGAAGAGATTTAAAAAAAAAAGAAAAACCCGCAACTATGTGTGATTAAAACTCTTTAGAAGTGGACCTTTTCAGAAAGCCTGAGGAAGAAGCTAGTCTCAGGTTTTAAATTTTCTAGTAACAGAGTTAATTCAGTTTGTCATTTTGGGATGTCCAACTTACTGCTATTGCCTGGAAGGGGGTTCTACATCTGGGTGGATCACTTCTCAGAAAAATAATTCACAGCATTTTTACACCATATATCTTTGTTAACAGAAATTCAAGACTTAGGGGCAGCTAGGTGGCACAGTAGATATAACACCAGCCATGGAGTCAGGAGGACCTGGGTTCAAATGTGGCCTCAGACATGTACTAGCTGTGTGACCCTGGGCAAGTCACCTAACACTGATTGCCTCCCTGCCCCCCCCATCCAAGACTTATTAATGCTGTCAAGACTGAAAGCAGAAACAGAATTTAATAAGCTCCTTAGAGCACTTGGTGTTGAAAGACCCATGTACTCGGTAGTATGAGAGAAGAGCAATGGTGTATTTCCATGCCTGATTTATTAGATGGGCCCAGGGATACAGAGATTGAATCTTATTCTTTGTAATCCCTTAAATGCCTTGTCCATGGTAGATACTCAATAATCATTTTTGGCCTGAATGATTTGTAAGAGGGATATTCCCCCAAAATTCTTGGCATCAATAAAAGTCAAAGATGGTTTGGGGAAGGGAGAAGAGAATTTGTTGTTATGAAGAGATAAATTTAGACCTTAAAAGGCAAAAATGTGAAAGTTAAATTATTAAAATTAAACTTATTTTTCCTGAACTGAGAAAGGAGCACTTTCAAGTTTGATGTTCAGGAATAAATGTGTTTTGTTTTGTTTTGTTTTGTTTTGTTTTTTCAATCTCTGCAGCAGTTTGGCAAAATCCTTGATGTAGAAATAATCTTTAATGAACGTGGCTCCAAGGTAAGTCCTGTTTCAATGTTCATGGCCCTTGTTACAGTAATTTGGTTGCTCTTCAGTGATGAGTAGGAACAGATATATTTGAAAAATGCACGAGCTGTTTGCTGAACTTCAAAAGAAGTATCTATCTAAAGCTTGAATAGTTCAGGGCAAATGTCCCAAGTTATAAAAGCATCAGACCCTAGTTTTACTCCATGGAGTGAAGGGAAGTGAGAGTGAGAAGTGGGAGGCAGTCATCCCTTGTTATGCCTGCATGTGTCTCTTACACTTCTATCCAAGGAGACGATTGGAAACAGAGACCCAAAATGACAAAACCCGTTTGCTTTTTGGAAACACCTTTGTCCTTTTCATACCGTTATTTTGTCCGTGAGGATCCCTGTATGGTCTTTACAGTTTGCTGTGATTGTGAACCTTTGAGCATGGAGCCAGGCTAGGCATCAGGCAGCAGACATTAAGCCTTTCCAGCCCGCTAGCAGCTGCCGTGGGCACTGGAAGATCAGGGTCAGTCACCCTTGTGCCCTCACTTTGGCCTTTAGATGAAGCCTGCAGTAAAGATTTTGGAATACATTTTAATATTCTACTTATGGAATTGATCCCCCTTCATCCTTTAAGCAATCTAAGCTGCGCTCTAAACCCAACAAAAGAGCAGGTTTTCATGGCCTCAATTAAAGCTAGCCACAGTGGCCCAAATTTTCACCAGGAACTGATTTTCAATTTTCGTCTTTTAGATGTTATAGAAGGAAGCTCCACCCACCAGGTGGCCCCACGATAAATGTCCCACTGTTCCCAAAGGCAAAGACTGGTGGTGATATTTTTCATCAAAATTCACAGTGCAAGGTTTAACAACAGATTTGACTCCTCCCAAGGAAATTCAGTATGAGACCTGCAATGAAGCAGGCAAAGAGAACTCTTATCAAGGAATGTTTGGCTTCACTAATACTAAATTTAATACTTTAATTACAGTAAGCATTTCCTGTATTCCACTAACTTATTTAGCATCTTCAGTATCTGACTTCTGTGAATTTAGAAGTCTATGCACTTAAGAAAAGGAAAGGAAAAAATGGGGTGGTTAAGTTTATTACCGTATCAGATAAGTGTTATGAGCAAATCTTTAAGAAACAGACATTTGTGTAGTTTATTTTGAAAATGCTTCTCCTGTTGGCAAATTAAATAAATCCCACTTGGCTGTGGCTAAATTGCTAAATTTTACTTTGTTCTCTTCATTCTCTGAATGTATGTACCTAAAGATCTATTAGCAGAGTTGAAGCACAAAGTATTTTATGTGTGTTCGCTGTGCCTCCCCCAGCACATTTGATGATTATGCTCTGCCCTTTCCCCTGGGGCACACACTGTGATGAACCATCATTGTAATACATGCCTATCCCCTTATCCTGAAATAAATACTATGCCATGGAGGATGGAATTTTCTAGCATTAAAAGAAGAATATTTATAAAGAATAATATTCAGATGCATCCCCCGTCTCACATGACACACTGCAGTTAATCGCGAGCCTTGCCAACACTAGTCCAGGCTCTACTTGCTGACCTAACTTTCATTCAGTCATTTCTGCTCAAATTTGGCAAGAGTATTTGGCTGCAGCCAAATGTCCTCACTTCAGAAGGGGATCAGAAAAGAAAAAGAAGGCCAGTTGGACTGCCATCCAAGGAGTGAGTTAATTTCCTTCTTGTTCCCTGTCCCCATCTGCATGGTCTTTGAGGCAGTTTCCACCTATACCTAGGATCGTTTTGCCTAAAATCCCACGTGTGTCCTCCTACCCCCATTTCTTGTGCCCTCCACATCTATATTCACGTCCAACCCATTTGAGAACTTTTGCTTCTGGAATGAACCACAGGGCAGGCAGTTTAAAGTGCTCTCAAAAGCATATATACCTTGGCCCTCCTTGATAAGAAACATCAGCCCTGAGGACTCCAAGTGGCATGTGTCTTACGAATATTGAATTGTGAATGTCAGCCTTTGTTTTAACTGTGTAAGAAGGTAATTGTGCTCCAGGCTTCCAGTTTTCAGTTAAAACAAACAAAAAAAGATTGGCTGCTGCTAGCCCTACAGAATTTTCCCCAGGAATTTCCTCGGTAAGTATTTGTAAAGGGGATGTGGATTGGAGGTCTCTGCACGCTGGACCTCTGCTCCTCTGAGGCACAGTTTCCCATTGCTTGTTGTTGATTTCTCTGCAACAAGCAGGTGCCAAACTGGTGCTCCAGGCTCCGAGGGGAGGGGAGCAGCCGCATCCAAGATAAGTGCCGGCCACAGAGCCTGCGCCCAAAGAAGCGGCCTGACGGGCTTTGGCTCTAAGTACTTGCTTCATGATGCTGCTTGCTAAAGGCTGGAAACCTGAAGCCCAATGTGATTTCATGGGATGCAGGTGCTCTGGGCCCTGAGGACCTGCTACTTAGTGGGAAAATAACTTAAATTCTTGTGAAGCAAAGGAAATGAATCTTTCTTACGGCTTCTTTTTCTCACTTCCGGGGTGTTCACTCCACCAAAACATGGTAAATTCACCTGATGGAATTTCCACTGCCCTGTAACTTTCTTTCTAAACTAATGATAGAAACCTTATTCTTTCTTTCTTTTTGGAGGAGTCCAAAACCAAGTCCTGCTGCTGTCAGCTTTGTCCTGTGTTCCTCACTGCCCCTTTCTTCTTCCCTGAGTTCCTAAAGGATATGTCTTGTATTGGAGGGAATAAATGTTTTTAAAGCATAGCACTAAACCCTAAAATAGCCCTGGATCTGCCTTCCAGCACCGATGGGAATTCCATCAGTGGGTTCAGGGCATTGCTCTTTGTCCATTCTTAACTCTGCCCAACGTTCTTGGCTGACGTGGGCCCCTGAAATTGCTCTGAGGAGGGTGATAGAGGTGAAATGGGATAGCCAAACACTAGGGTCTTTTCTTTAGGGACCACCTGAGATAAGCTGATGAACCTTTTCTGTCGGTGATTGAGCTCCACTTCTCATTACAATAAGTACTTTTTTATATGCTGCTAAGAAATTCATTCGACTCAGTGAGGTTTTAGCATATAAGGTGGGCCTGAGTTTGAAAGGGATTAAATGAAAGAAAGGGAAACTGTCACAGGAGGGACCTTATTTTGTGAACCAGTCACTCACTGTTCAGGAGTGTTCATCTTTAGAAATGGCCATCCTAATATCCTGCAGTGGGGATAGGAAAATTAGTTATGAGATACCGCTGAGCCAGAATGTCTGTGAAACTGCATGCGCTGGATAAGTAAAGCCTGCACTGCCCTCGGAGAGACCTCTCTGTCCTGTTCTGCAGTCACTGACTCACAAAATTCTAGGGTTTTGAGAAAGGGCGTTATTGGCCAGTGTTTTTTTTCTAAGTTGACTAATGGACCTTAGGGGCCACCTTGTGTAGCTTCCTTATTTTACAGATGAGGAAACTGAGGCCCAGAGAAGTGACTTGATTTGCTCAGTCACACAGGTTTCAAGGAGCACAGCCAGGATTTTTTTCACCCCAGTCTTCTGCGTCTCGGTCCTGCCTTCTTCCTACACCTCCAATGCTGCCTGCTGATGATGAGTTTGAGAGCAGAGAGGGAAGGTCATGGAGCCTCCTGGCTTTCCATTCGTTCAAGTTGCCTGTAGAGGGCGACTTTGTTTCCCTCACATGGAGGGTTTTTGATTGTTTCTAAGGAAACTCTTTTCTCTTCTCATTTTGCCTTGGAAGTTCTAGATCCTATTTATCTAGATTATGTTAGATGGCCTTGTTATGCTGTTGCCTTATCGTCTTATATCCTATTTCTCATCACTTCCTCTACTTTCCCTCCCCGCAAAAAGAAAAGCAATTCCACTGTCTCATTTTCTCAGACCACTTAAAACAAGGGTAGGATATCCTTCTGTCTTTTTGAAAACATACATTAAAACTATGATGAGAAATGACGTCCTTGCCAGGAAAGTTGCTGATTTTTCCCTGATAAATATCTCACAGGTTGAATAAGGAACATGACCGGATATTTGTCCCTGTACATTTAAACTGCCAACACTTTCTTTAAATTGACCCTGGCATTACTGGGGAGATACATATCCTTTGAAGACTAACTGTAATGAAATGTCTCACAACTGAGAAAATTACTGTAGAAGTCCTTTGGGGGGGGGGGGAAGCCTTAGAATTGAGAAGGACCCATGGGATTAACTGGCTCTCCCTCCTGCCCAGTGTGAGGGTCCCCATCTGTCCTCCCTGCCTGCCTCTAGTAATGGGGAGCTTGTCACTTTTCAAGGCAGCTGAGTTTGTTGTTGGACAGTTTTACTTATTGGGAAATCATTCTTTACTTTAAGCTAAAAGTTCCCCCATCATTATTGTCCATTGGTCCTAGTTCTGGCCTCTGGCATCACCGAACGAGGTTACTTCTCCTGTGCCATCACGCTTCACATGTTCCAGAACGTTCCCTCTTAAGTCTGTCTCTTCCCTAGCTTCATAGCCTCAGTTCCTGAGTAGAAGCTTTCCGGACTCTCCCCATCCTGCTCCACCTCCTGTATAATGTTGCAGCCAGTGAGTGACCCTCTTAAAAACTCCAGCACCCCCAAATCAAACATGTTCCAGATGTGGTTAATTCATCCTTCCAGAAGAATAAGAAAACAACCAAAATGCTAGAAAATTTGGCTTGCCACCTAATAAGGGCAGCGTAAGATGTTTCTAGGACAGCCTGTTGTCTCACTACCATCAGCAAGAAATGGGAGTATTGTTTGCATCTAGAATAATGTGCACAGTATTGGATAATCAGGATGCCCATGAAGAAATATGCAAATTCTAAGAATTCTTCCTGGTTTACATTAATGCTTACAGCGATTGAAGCCATGTTGCTGTCCTTGTCCCTGGGAATCTGGAAGACTACTCAGTTCCTTCCCTTGAAAGATTCCAAAGCCGATTTAGAAATCACACTGAAAATGAGGAAACTTGAAGTAGCTGAAATTGCCCCATAGAGCCTAGCGAGGAGCACAGTAGTTACTGTTGTGACCTTGAGTCAAGCCCCCTTCAGTCAGTGTGAGCTCATCACTTATCTCAGGTGTGTTCTGCCCAAGCTTGTGGGGAGAGGGTGGTGGTGGCCTCAGAAGCAAGTCCTACTGGTGCTGGGCTTGCCTGGCTTTTCCCTGGGGCTTTGAGCCTTGATTAACTACAAAATATGTGGAATGTAATAGTAAATAAGGCTTGGTTGGTATTTAGCATCTTGGGATAAATAACGCTGTAGAGGCGAATATTTTTTCACTATGCTTAAAACTAAGAGTTAACAATGCATGGATTTTAAGAGGGCTTCATTTACTTTCCTTTTGTTTTCACTTTCTGGGTTTGGGGCTTTTTAGTTTACTTTGGTTTGGTTTTTGTTTATTTTATTTATTTTATTTTTTAATTTCTGTGTTCTGGCCATACCCAGGAGAACCGTCTGCTTTTGATTTCTCCCTTAAAAGTTACATGGTAAATTTTCTTTCTCATTCTTCAGAGATGGAAACATTCAAAGATTATCTCAATATATTGATCTACATTTTTTTCTTTTTACACTGCTCATCCTGTTGCTTGTTATTTATTGCAGAGTTGGAGGCCAGACTAAAAGGGTAACAGTTACTCGGTTCCCTGAGCACCCTTAATTGGAAGTGGTGCCAAGACGTGGGGCAGAAATGGTTACAAGCTGTATACTGGACAAATAAAAACCTTCTGGAGGGGAGGCTTGAGTCAGTGACAGCATTAATGGCTAATAGAATACAAGACTACCCAGTCTTGTAATATTACATTTTTTCTTAGCGGTTAGATCTTGTGTAACATCTTGTAGCTAACTGAGAAACCTGGGAAACAGTATTTAGGTTAAATTTTATCCCACAATATTTGGGGGAAGAAAAATTTCATTTCTTTAAATAGAGTTTGAGTACCAAGTGCTCTCTATTTTTCTGTAGGTCTTTCATCTGCTGTTTGAAATTTTACTCCCTCAATCTGATTGATTCATATTTCATAGACTCATCGATTGTCAGGGCTGGGAGAACCTTACAGTTCATCTTGATTTAGTTTCTAATAGGAGTTGTAGTTAACTGTAATTTTTCAAGTATCGTTTTCTTGGCCATGGGACCTACCTAACTTTCTGCAAAGCCAATGATCAGCAGTGCCTATTGGGATGCAAATTTTATTTCTAAAAAGAAAATGAAAGTTTTAAAATTACTTGCTGTAACTTCATGTTTCTAGTTTTTAACTTACTAAACTACTAGCAGCTGTATAATGTAGCAAATGAATCAACAGAGGAACTACCTAAAATGATTATCCCTTTCTTCCTTATCCTGGCCACCTACAGTTCCGTTTTTAAGTACACCACCATACACAAGGCCACCCTTGCTTCACTCAGGCCACTGAAGTATCTCTTCATTTCAGGAGTTTCTATTAGAACAAAGAGGCTTCTTTCATCTCTCCCCATCACGACCCCAAACTATCTGTAGTGTTGGTGTCAATCACGATGATTTCTTTGTATAAATAAATGTAAGGCAGTTTGTCTTTGAAAGCCCAGGACCTAATAAAATAGTTATCTTACTATTTTCTGCACAATATAGATACTTCTGTTCATAAAGCATTTTTTAAGTGATTTAAGGATGGAGTTGGGCTCCAACTCTAGACTATGAGATTAGTTTTGTGGACCTGCTAAGCAAGCAAACAGAGATGTTCATATTTTATATTTGCTGACTATTAAATTTCCAGGGTTTTTTGGACATTGTCAGAATTTAGTGTTTGTGATGCCAACACTCATTCTTTTGCAAGCACGTGAAGTCCCACAGAGGCTATGAAACAGAAAGAAAGATTGTAGAAAAGGGGACTTTGAGGGAGCCCCAAGACATGAGAAAAGAGACTGATGATTGAAAGGGCCTTGTAGGCTTTCAGAGAAATGGATTCTTGTCCCAGCTCCCACTCCAGCTGCCTGAGTGGCTTTGTTTATTTAGACTTGTAAATTGGGACAGTACCTGTGTCCTCTACCTCAGAAAGCTACTGGGAGAGTGGAATGACAGTCCTCTATGAGTGTGTCAGAAGCAGTTCTGAAAAGGGGCTGTAAAGAAACCCAGAGGAGCCTTGCTTCACGTTCTGTAATCTGTGGCTTTGTCCCTCTTGTTATTCTCCCCTAGTGTGGGTCATGGCTCCCCCAGGACTTAGTAAGTAAAAAGTGTCACAGTTACAGTGACCAAAAGCTCCTTCCCCCTGAGCCCAGCCATGGCATGAGCCTCTCTGACCTCAGACAGAAGGCAGACTGATTGCCAGGCAAGGCTTTAACAGCCAGAGTTGTGCGCTACGCTACTGCTGTTGCCTTTGATCCCCGGCTTCCACGTGAGCCTTTTCAGGAGAACTCCGGTTGTTATCATTATAGATGATTAGTTATCGATTACCTCCTCGAGACACATTCTGTTCTATGGCAGATAAAGACAAGAAGATTGTGCCATTATGGAAATGGAGACACAAATGTGGCCTCCTTAAAAGTGCTGGAGAAACTCACCATTGTTAGCAAGTGGCTTTCCTCAGAGTACCGTTGGAAGATTCTTTATTCCCAGGATAGTGGCCACTATGGTGATGATTAAGCTGGCCTCTTCTGTAGTAAAAACTTGTTCACATAACTGTCTGATTCAGGCTGTCTGATACTCAGCAGATTCACTTGTGAATTGCCCTGACACGCTTTGGGGTGGGCATTTGCGTTTAAAATTCCATCCTTGTTTACACTTGAAAGCAGTTTACAAACTCACCTCAAAAAGAGTACTGAGCACAGCCACTCTCTTTATAACTCTGCTGGTGCTGTTGCATTGTGGTAGTCTTTGAATCAGGATAGTTTCATAATTCTAAGAGTTCTTTGTGATGGGGATTGTTCAAGAAGAAAAGAGGACTTTATAAAGGTAGCTCCATGCACCTAAAGAAGGGCTCCGTCTCCCTCAGCGTTCCAGTTGGTTTATCGTCCCTGGGAGGAATTTGGTTCCTTTGTGTACACTGCTGACCATTTCAGTTCAGTGAATTTGTAGCTTACCTAGGGGCTCTGAGATAAGAGAAGATGATGTCAGCAAACACAGAACGCTCCTGGTAGCCCAAGAGTGGGAGAGATTCAAAGAATACTAGGGAGTACAATGTGGCTGTTGTTGATGCCAGATGAGAGCTTTTATTGGGAAATCCTGAGATTCTGCCACAGTGTAGGGGGAAGTGGACAAGCAGGATCACAAACATTTTGGGTCCCTTGCAGTGGCAGGGAAGATAGATAAGGATTGAGCTGCCAGAAGAAAATAACACTGGCATGATGGTGCCTAGTAATTTGCCAGAAGATATGACCAGTGGCACCGCTGAGGCCGTTATGGTTATGACCTCTTTGGTCCCATTATTCTGCCTACTTCATGTCTGCATAGGAAGAGATTGATGCATGATTCCCTGAACCATCGAGGGATGGATCACAGCACTGGAGCATGCTCCACTCTACTAGAGCCACGTCAGGAAGAGGAATCCACAGGGAAGACTTCCTTCTGGGCAGTTGTGTCGTGGCAGCCTGGCCTAGTGGGTAGCACATTGGACAAGGGGCCCAGGCCTTCATCCCCTCGTTTACAGAGTGGGTATGATGCACTCTGAAAGGCGCCAAGTTGTTAGACATGTGCCTCGTCTTTCAGGCAGACAGCCGTATGGAGAAGTGTGGCTGTGGCCTCGGTCACGCTTCTGCAGTTGTTCCTTGTGAATCCTAAGACTCTAAAACCACTGAATTTCACTTTCCCACTACCTTTAACTCATTTGTATTTTTTTCTAGAACAGTACCGGTAAGTTTGGCAATAAATCACAAGATCGTAGCAGAGGCAGCTTCTCTTCTGTCATTCACATAAACTGGTTTTCAGGAAGACCCCAGTCATAGAGGCTCATCTTGCGGTGCATTCAGGTGGTCCGTCCATGAAAAGATATCACTTCTCTTTCTGGTCTCTCCCCAGCCATCGAGGAATCACCCTTCAAGATAGGATTCTGTATTCCTGCTTTTCTGTGGAGAATAAAAGTGCTTTCTTTTAGGAGCAGGTCAAAGGTCAGCTCAATGCTAGGACCGTGCACATTGGTAAAGTCTTTATGGATGTGATAAGGACCTGAGATGCCAGGAAAGCTTTGCGCTTGTAATTTTTCTAGTTCTAAAATTTATTCAGAACTTCAGGTACTTCTTAGTACCTCATGAAGATTGCAGTGTTGGGCATCAAAAATGGTGAGAAAGGAGTTTGTAATAAACAACCTTATTAGGACACTGATGGTGTCTCGTTATAAATTATCTTTTAATAGTAGGATCCGAGTAACTTTATACCTTCATTTTGGTCTGGCCTCAATTGCTCTATGTTTTATTTTATTATTACTGTTATTTATATTATTATTATTACTATTGTTCTGATTATAATTCTTTATTCTTTTATTGGATTTAATTTTCTTTTATGAAACATGCATGAACCGAAGATGTGACTCTAGGAGAGTATTGCTGAGTTGTGCTGATGTCGATTTCATACTGTGATATTTTTTCTCTATTTACCTAGAGATCAGTACTTCAATATAACGATGTGCATGTTTTCCCCCCTTCTCCCGCTGCATGCAGGGATTCGGGTTCGTAACTTTCGAGAATAGTGCTGATGCAGACAGGGCCAGGGAGAAATTACACGGCACCGTGGTAGAGGGCCGTAAAATCGAGGTGCATGTCTTCAATAATTCAATTTCTTCTTTCTATTCTTTTTATTTCTTTTTTTGTGTCTTGCCTCCCTTATTTCACATTTGGAACCCTGTCTCGTGTGCGTGTGCGTGTGTGTGTTTGTGTCTCTATGTCTATCACCTTCCTGCACTGACATGTATAAAAGTGACACCCCTACACCTCCTAAAGTTTTTGGTTGTTTGGGGATTTTAAGTTTAAGTTTTGATTTTTTTATTTGTTTGTTTCTTTTCCCCCCTTCTCCAAAATTTTCACCCTTCTGCTGTCTTGATTTTCCTTTGCTTCAGTTTGCGAGGCTCCAAATTTCTGATATCAGACCTGAAAAAAACTGACTAGAAAAAATACTCTCCAATTTCTAACTCTGTGTCCTAGAATGAAGCAGGGTGCCAGCCAGTATCCTCTCTCTCCTTAGAGGCCAGTTCTCCTCCATATGAGTGTGAGATGTTAGAAAGGGGGAGGAGATTGTTTTTGATAGAGTTTGATTGGGGGGTGGGGTTGGGGTATGGTTAAGGGAAGAGGGACCAAGCTCACAATGGGCTTCTAAAACCAAATTTCACCGGTCTGCTCAAAAACCAGAGATTTCAACAGTTCTGGAAATTATTACCACCAAAACCCTGCGATCCAAGCTTTGGCTGGGGCCAGCTAATAAAGGACTGTTGTTATCGAGGCCACCACCTGGTGCTCACTAGCTTTTCTTTTACACTGTGGTGAAGGTTAACTGGCCCCTTCTCCCCTGCCCGCCTCTAAAAAGGAAAAAAAAAAGTATTAAATATAAAAGCCGCTGTTTTGAGTAAGATGTCTGCATATTTTGCTTTTTTTTTTATTTCCTTTTTCAATGGTTTAGCGTTTAGGGCCCTTCACTTGACTCACTCTTTCCATGGTAACTATACACAAAGCTGGCGATGGTACGAGTTGGCGGTAAGTGAAATAAAAGCGCTAGAGAAGAAGCTTAAAAAACAAATTTAATTACGAGACGAATAAGAAAGAAAAATCCATCTGCCATCTCACATTAACACTACAAAATGTGATTTGACTTGTTGTTTCCCCCTCCTTTTCCCTTTCCCCCTTTTATTTTCAATGCTGTTGAGTAATGCCGCCTGGATTTTGGATGTCCATATCGTTTTGTAGCAGTCTGAGCTGTTTGATTACTGACTTCATGGTGATTTCCCCCTGCACATCTTACTCAGAGTTACTGAACTCCAGTTTGGCTGGTTTTATTAATGCACCCTTCCCTCCCCTCCCTCTTTCTCGCTCTCCGCCAAGCCTTTCCGTGTGTGGCTCTGAGTGTTCTTCAGTTCCTCTCCTGCCTCCTTGTCTTCTGTGGAGCCCTCAGCTCCTCCCCAGTTCTCTTTGCCTCTGTTCCTTCTCTCCCTTCCCTTTCCCTCTGTCTGTGTTCTCTGCTGCCTCTTCTCTTTCTGCTTCTCTTCTTCTTCACCCCTCTTCCTCTCTCAGCCCTTTCTTTTTCAGTTTCTATCTTGTCTTCACTTCTCCCTCTGTCTTCTCTTTTTGTCCTCTTGCTCCTCCCTTTCCCTGTCCTCTTCCACCCTGCCCTCCCATGCCGCTGTTGGTCTCCCTTTGCTGACTGGTGGTCTCTGATGGGTTTTGGCCATTTTTCCTTTAAGTGCTTGTGCTGCCCTCTGCTGTAGCAGCTGATTTCAGGCTCTCGCGCCATCTTAGTGGTTGTCTGTGAGACCCATTCTTCCCTTCCTTTTCCCTTCCTCTCCTAAATTGATTGTTTTTTTTTCTTTCTTTTATCTCTGTGTGTGTGTTTTTTAACTTGCATGCTTCAAGTCTCATCATTGTTGTATCCCATTCTTTCTTTTTAAATGTAAAATGTTTATATTGTTTGGTGGGTCGAGCTAGAGTAAATGTCGTTTCAGCTCTTCTCCTTGCACCGATTCTCAACTCTCTGTACCCCGAGAGAAAGAATGAAGCCATTTTTTTAGTTTGTCTTCTATTTAAAATGGGCCTTTTTAATGGCTTCTGACCTGACAACCCAGCCAGTAATTGAGTTCTGTGATGAGGCTTCACCCTCCTTGCAGTAGCTTTGAGGCTGATTCTGACACGGGCTGCAGTTTCTTGGCTTCCAAACCCCATTCATCTTTTCTTGATCAGCACCATTTCTGTAACACCCACTTGCTGTGGCACTGAGAATGCTTGACATTATACAGAGCTCTGTACAGAGGGTGAGAGCGCTGTGAAGCAAAGAGACAGAGACTGGAAATTCTCGTCTATCCCAAACAACAGGCACTGGGAAAATGTCTTACGTGTGCATCGTGTGCTATGAATTAGCATCGGACCTAGACAGCTGGAGATTAACCCTGAACACCATCAGTTGACTGGGACCGAAAGTCCTTGATTTTTCCCAGCCAACTTCAGATAACAAGAGGTTTTACGTACAATGAGCCCTCCGCCTATGTTAATGGACTGGCAAAGAGCCTGCTAAATCTGATAGGTTTTCTGTCCTGTCTGAAAATCTCCTTCAGTGACCTGTATGACCTGCCACTTTTTAAATGAAAACCTTTTTTAAAAGTATGGTGGCATGCCCTGCTAACTTTCCATTCTTCCCACAAAGTAGAAGTTTTTCTGCTTCAGTCAGTCCCACAAGAATGAGCACACGATTGCCAGGGTGCAAATAAAGATTCTAAACATGCCATTCAGAGCTGGAGAAACTACATTTTACTCTTGTTGGCCTTGTTTAATGAGTAATTTGATTGAAATATCAAATGTAGATATATTTATCTTTTATTATTACTTTAATTATTAAAATTAAGACTATAACTGTAATTAATTTACATTTTTAAAAAGAGCTCTTTGCTTCTTTACTTAAAGTATTTTATTATGACAATGGGTGAAGGCCCCCTACATCTTCCCTAATATGGTCTGCTTCCTCCCCTCCCCTTCCTTCCCTTTTTTTATTTGTAGGTGAATAACGCCACGGCACGCGTAATGACCAATAAGAAGATGGTCACGCCATATGCAAATGGTAAGAGTCTACAACTTGGGTGTGGGAAGGTAGCATGTATTTCCTGGGCCAATGGGGGACCTTTCCATAGACTCCCCAATAGTTCTAAACCATTGCTGGGTCTGCAGTCTTGTCCCTCTTTCCTTTTAGGACATAACTGTACCTTCTGGTGCTCGCTGAGCTTTTTTCTTCAGTCTTTCTGACTAACGTGGACATTATTCATGTGCTGTGGCCTCGTGGCCCTCTCACATCCACAGGCGGGTGAGCAGCTGTGCAGATGCCCAGTGAGCACCTCATACTGCTAGCTGCTCTTGTTCCTGGGTAGAAGCATTGATCCCGTTTTTCTTATCACTTGCCTACTTTGTACGCTTCCCGATGCTCACCAGCCCTGACCTCTACCAGCAGCTGGTGGTACAGTGGATAGAGCACTGGGTCTAAAGCAGGAAGACCTAAGTTCAAACTCAGCCTCAGAGACTTACTAGCTGTGTGACTCCGGGCAAGTCACTTAGCCTTGTTTGTCTGAGTTTCCTCATCTGTGAAATGGAGACAATAACAGTGCCTACTTCACAGGGTTGTCATGAGGATCAGATAGGATCATGTCTGTAAAATGCTTAGCATGATTCCTGGCACATAGTGGGCACTCTATAAATGCTTATTCCCTTCTTCCTCTCTGCCACCCCCCTCTCCCCAACTGCTTCCCTCTCAGCAGGGTAGGTGCATAATGTGGTGGCCAGGTAAGTATTTGTGTGGTTAGACTGGGCTCTTATATCACTGGACCCCCACAACTTCCCTCAGTAAGGTGTGACCCAAAGGGGACAGTTGTAGTCTTTCTTTCATGCACATTTTCTGTGAAGAAAAAAAAATCATTTCTGTTGTGCATGTGTATGGTGGAAGAAAGATCCTTGGGTTTGAATTCTAGCACTTAACAGTGAGACTCTGAGCAGATCTGTGCCTGTCTCTGGGTCTCAGTTTCCTGATCTGTAAAATGGGGGGTGGTGGTGGACTGGATCTCCAAAGATCATAGATTTAGAGGCAGAGGCAGCCTTTACAGGCATGGGTCTATTAAAATACTCTAGCTTATCCTGAGTTCAGCAAGCATGTGGTTGCCTGGCTCACCATCTTCCCTTCTTCCCCAGCTCCTGGCCTTATTCTAGGGAGTTCCAACACTTGTGGTATGTGGCTCCCCTCCGAGCCTCCTCCTTCCTTAGTTTCTCAAACTTTTGATGTCTTCTAGCTGACCTAGACCCACACAGGGACAGTGACACCCTGAATCTGATCATTCCTCACTGTGTCCTGTCTCCTTCTTCAGAAACCTCAGCACTCTTCAGTCTGATCATAACCCACTATCCTGTCTCTTCCTGTGCCTCGGCCTCTCCTCAGCTGCTCTTCTCTGCCCTCATCAAGCCCTCCAGGCCTTGCTGGACTAGAGAAGTACTTTCTTGGCCTTTACCCCTTCTCTTATGGCACTTGTCTTCCGTTCGCAATCTTGACCCTGTCTTTGGAAAGCCCACTTTCCAAGGTTCAGGGCTTAGCCCTTTTTGCATCTGTCTCTTTATGTTCTTTCCCTTGGCAATCTCATTGGCTCTCCCAGATCTCTGTTCAGCCCCACAGCTTTCTGTTCTACCTGGGGCTGCCTCTCGAGAATCTCAGCTCCACCTGTGTAAAGTAGAACTCGTGTTCTTTTCCACCAAAACCGACCTCTTCTCTCAAAGGTGCCACCCTCCTCCCTTCTGCCAGGTTTGTTAACCCTGGACTCCTCGCTCTCCCTCCGTCGCCAGATCTTTGCAGTTCCTGTCTGTGTCCCTCACATCTGGCTCTTCTCCCCACCTCATCACTTCCCATAGAGATTGTCACAGTGGTCTGATTGGTCTCCCTCCTCCACTCTGCCGCCAAGGTCATTTTCTTTAAACTCAGATCTAACTGTTTCCTCTCCTCATTGAACTCCAGGGGCCCCTTCTTCCCTCTAGGGTCCAATATGAACTCGGGGCGGGGGGGGCGCGCTTTTAAAATCCTCCACAGCCTTATTAAACATTGACTACTCTTCTGCACTCTCCAGTCCAGCCAGGCTGACTGTTTTTCCCACATGGAAAAACACCTTTGGACCTGTCATCTCCCAAGGAGTGCACTCCTTCCAGCGTGTAGAATCCCTTATCTCCTTCAGGAAGCAGCGCTGTCATCACCTTTTACATCGTGTTGTCCATTCTTCCAGCCACTCGTGCCCTCCCTCATGACCTTGTATTGCTTGTGCATGTGTTTGTGAAGTACGTGTATGTGAGCACGTATAGACACACCTATAATACATACACATGTAGGTATGTTTGTCATGTGCCTGAATGCATGTATGAGCATGCACACATGCTGCCCCCTAGAGTGAAAGCTCCTGGAAGGCAGAGCCTGCTTCGTCCTTTGTCATTCATCCCCAGCACCAGCACATGGTATATGTTTAACACGTTTTGGTTGATTGACCTTTGCCAAAGTTGTAGTTAGCTAGGGCAGGTGTTGCATTGTCCTCATTGAAGACTGTGATTACAGTTTATGGCCACTGTGGGTTTGTTGGGCTGCTGGTAGCACTGAAACAGTAAAAGCAGGGAGATGCAATCATTGCATCCATCCCAAGAGCTGACTGAGAAATTAGCCTTTCCAACCTTGACCTAAAAGCTGTTTACCCAATTTATTTCTTCTCCTCTCTGATGTAGAGGATCTTCTGGACAGGTGATCCCAAATCAGCTAAGACCCTAGAAGCTTAAAAGACCTATTCAGCCCTTGAGGACCAGGCCATGGGGTTTTCACAGAGTAAAATGGAGCATTAAGCCTAGTGACAATCAGGTCTGATTCTGCAGTCAGATCCTCTCCTCTTCAAGGTTTTCCTCAGCTGATCTGTCCTCTCACCTCTGTGCTCCTCTGGGGGAGTGAGAATGGAAGGAAGGAAGGAAGGAAGGAAGGAAGGAAGGAAGGAAGGAAGGAAGGAAGGAAGGAAGGAAGGCAGGCAGGCCTATATTAAGCATTGAGCACATGCACTGTAGTAGGAGCTCAAATACAAATGAACATATGGAAATTGAGGCATGAGCGTTGCTATTGTATGTATCCCCCAGTGTGACATTCTGTCAGTGAGAGCTGTAAGACAGTCCACACCCACAAGGAGCTTATACTCCAATGGGTCAGACAACACATATAGAGGAGGGGGGGGGTATTTTGGTCACGTAAGCCAAGAGGATAGTGAATGGAAGCACACGGGAGTTCATTGCCTTGACCTTTCCGGGAATATTCATGTTGAGATGATCATTTTTTCCAGAGCTAGAGGTAAAAAGCATGGGGCCTAGTGACACAGTGTTAAGATGGCCAGGGAACAGTTTGGGCTAGAAATGATCAAGTCTTCCTAGTCAGGAGCCCGAGGACCTAGGCTGGGAACTGAAGTACTAGGCTGAAGGTGGAGATTGGAGTTCAGGAACGTGGTGTAAAGATGGATGGGGAGCAAAAGAGTGAGCTAATGGAGGAATGTAACCTGTTGAGTTTTTTGCTGACAGAATTCCTAGTTACCTAGCATCCTTTCACTAAATCTCCATCTTTATTGTAAACATTCAAAATGTGGAAGTTTCAGGCCTATTGGTAAAGCTGAAACTTATTTTAAGCCAGCCTGCTTCTGGACATAAGCGTGGTAGCCTGTTGCATGCACAAAGAAACTGCAATAATTGGGAAACCTTTTCAAGTTAGAGTTAAGTTTTAAGTTATGAGATGACAAAGGCTTATTTTAAGACAATTCTATTGGCAAGTCACTGAACTCTCCAAATTTTAGTTTCTTCATTTGTAAAATAGGAAAGATGATGTGTCAAGTGTCTGAGCTAAAAAGGTTATTGTGCAGCTCAGATGAACGGATGGATGAGCATTTGAGCACTGGGATACAAACAGAGAAGGCTCTGCCAGAGTTCCTGCTGCATCTGGAGGAGAACATGGGCCAACGGAAAGGCCAGGAGCTCCTAGGGTGCTTCTGTGGGGTAGATGGCCAAGCTCATGAGGCTGTGGGATAAGCCATATGCAAAGAACACACAAAATAGATGAGTGTTAAGACAATAATGTGTATGAAGGATTTTGTGAATTTTGAAGCTCTCCATATATACAAGTTAAGATTAATATAGAAAGGAGGGATTTGGCGATGGGCCTTGCTCCTTAGGGCTCTTCTGAGACCTCTTACTGCCCCATCCATCGCTGTAAGCTTGCTTCTGATCTCTCTGGAGTTTTGTGTCCTCTGCTACAAAGCAAGCAGCATCCCAGCCCTTTGAAGCCAGAAGAGTGTGTCTGGGCCTTTTTTCTCCATGCTTTCTTTCTAGCCCAGCTGGCCAGCCTCATTTTATGTTATTCCCCCTCCATTTGTTTCATGCTCCATCCCCACTCTGCTCTGCCCCCCATTTTGTCTCCTCCCTTTACACAGACCTGAAATGTACCTTACCTCGACTGCTTAGAATATTGAGCTTCCCTCAAGGCTCTGTTCTGATGCCATCTCCTCCAGGAAGGCTTTCCTGATCTCTCCCAAATTGTTACTACACTTACCTGGGCACATGTTGTATCTGCCAAGGAGAATATATATCCCAGTGATGGTACAGATTGCAGTTTGTCCACCTCTCATCTTGTCCTTGTCCTCTCATAAAGTGTCCATAAGAGGTCACGCGCCGGCCCCTTCCCCCCCCACCCCCCCAAGCCTGAAGGACTTGCTTCAGCTCAGGGACCATTATGCAGTCTTCCCTTTGTCCTCTGTGAATGCCCCCACCTCCCTTTCTGGTTCTCCTCTCTGCTGATAGCCTTTGGGCTGCTTCTTAAATGTGTCTCCAATGTAATTGAATCCAGTGCTGTGTCCACATTCTATAGATGAAGAAACTGGATCCCCAGGAGGTTCAGGATGTGGCCAAGATGCCACGGTAACTTGCTTGTGCCATAGGGCTCATGGGGTCATCACTTTAGAGGTGTGGGGGATTTTGGAAGCCAGCCCATCCACTGCTCCTCGTTACCCAAAGGAGGAAGCTGAGGCCCAGGAACATTGAGTGACTTGCCTAAGGTGCCACAGGTAGCCCAGTAAGGGGCAGAGCTAGGGCTTGACCCTCCTGGGCCCTTTGGGTCCCAGTCCGAACAATTGATACAGAGTATGTGTCTGTGTGTAAGGGCTTTGTAAACCAGTGTTAAGCACAGTTACTGATTCCTAGTCATTGGTGATTCTCAGGAACTGATACATTTGTGAAAAGAGAGAGAAGAAAGTCTTTGTTATTAAAACTGAGGTGATGTGGGAGCCAGAAAGAGCCAGCTTTGGCATCCCCCTGTGGCTATAAGGGAGACAGAGAGGGTGGGAAGAATCTTTATAAAGTGAAGAATTTACACATCCCAGGTATTAGCCCATTTTTTGTGAAGCTGTAGTCAGTACAGTTTCAGCCCCTCAATTTAGAGATGAAGCAGGTGCAGAAAGATGGACCATCCATTAGGAAGATGGGCTGGAGTTCGAGATGAGGGGACCCGGGGAGGAGGGCCCTGGAGGCGTCTGTGGCTCTCTCGTCTTCCCTGTCACCATCTCTCCTGTTTTGTCCCTGTTCCCACACCACCCACAGGACGCTCTCAGGCCCTCTCTTACCTCACAGCCTCCTCCAAGGAGACCACCCTGCTCTACTTTTTCCTTCACAGCTTTCCTGCACAACTCCATTTCTGTTATTCTGCTGTTCAAAAGCCTTCTGTGACTGCTTACTGTAGATGGAACAGAACGTAGGCTCCTGAACCTGGTATTTAAGGCCCAACAGAACCTAGCTCATGTGCTCTGTGAATATAGGGTTCTCCAAAAATGTTTTAGTGCTGTATTTCAAAGTGACTGGTTTCCTTTGTAGTCCTACATATTTAATTTCACGTATTCAAAAACATCACTCTGAGCAAAGAGGGAGGTTTGCCTATCTAGCTCCAGCCAGCCTTTCCCGTTCCCTTGGTCTCCTCCCTTCATGTCCCCCTGTCCTCTGAGCTCATCCTACCCTGTGTCATCTCCATGCATTCACATAGACTAAGCCTCATACCTAGAACATGGCCCTTCTGCATCTCTCTACCCATCAAGATCCTTTTCCTTCCCAGCCCAGCTTAGGCAGTACTTCTTTAAGTGATTCTTTCCCAATTCTCTCTTATTCTCTCCAAACCCCCACTGAGAGTGATTTCCTCATTCTAGACGTTCTTTGTCTAGGGCTTCTCGTTGTTGATACCACCCTCCTTTTTATCACACTTTTTTGTATGTGTCTTATTTTCCCATAAAACGTAAATTCACTGAAGGCAGAGACCATATTGACCTTTCAAAGAGCTTGCACATGATAGGTATTTAGTAAAGATGTATTGAATTGAATTGCATTGTCATGGGTAGGAGTCCAGAATCTGGCCAAGTAGAATATAGAAAACTGGGAGGGGAAAAAAAGACTCCTGTGGAAGATAGAGGACTGGTCTGGTGGGGTCTTGTTTGAAGGAGATGATGCTTTCAGTGACTCCCTCATTGATGCTGTACAGATGAAATCCTTTGGTCTTTTCTTTCTTCCATTCCCTCGGTATACATAGAGTGCTTCCTGCTTATCGCTGCCCTTGGGGGTGGGCAAGCAAACTCAGCAGAAGGGAAGCAGCCCCCATTTGGAGGGCATGGGTAGTCTGGGCAGGCAGAGCTCCAGGCTGACGAGGAGGTGACGGGCCCATGTTCAGGGGGCTTGCCCTTTCTCCTCATATTGATGAGGACCCTTCTCCGGCTCGCTGTGCCAGGCACAGCATCAGGAAGACACCGGGACAGACACAGCATTTAGCCTTAGAGACGAGCTGCCATTGGAATTGGTGGAAAGAGTCCACCTTCCAGTGCAGTCATAGACATGCATGAAAACAAACCACAGGAAGCTTCCCTGTGGCAGAGCATCCATCGAGATGCCTGACCCAGGAACCTCAGTCCCCTCATCTGTAAAATGGGCATGAGGATCACAGTTGTCCTGCCTCCACTACAGGTTCAATGAGATCATCTGTGTGAAGTGCTTTGTAAGTCTTAAAACCTTGTTATTGTGACTCCTGTCATGCCTGTCCTCTTTGCCATTTCAGGTTGGAAGCTGAGCCCAGTGGTTGGAGCCGTCTATGGCCCTGAGTTATATGCAGGTAGGGCTCCTACGCTCCCTTTTTTGCCCTTTGCTCAAAGTGGTGTTTGCTGGTTTTAGGTGTGTTCCCTCTTTCTCATGTTTCTTGCCCTCTTTCTCCTTTGTTCTTTTAAACCCAAAAGCAGCCTCCAGTTTTCAAGCAGATGTGTCGCTAGGCAATGATGCGGCAGTGCCCCTGTCGGGAAGAGGGGGAATCAACACTTACATTCCTCTCATCAGTAAGTAACACCTCCCATGAGCTTCCCCTGGCACTGAGCCTACCTGTGCTGCATGTGCAGCCGGAGGCCTGGGGCAGGGCAGGGGTGGGGGAGTGAGCATGGCGGGAGGTCTCTAGAACCCTTCCCCTTGGTGCAGCTCACACACTCTAAAGCTGTCCCCTACCCCGGGCTTGCAGTCCTCAGTGTCTCGTTTGCTTCTTGTCTCACAGTGACTTCCTGGAGCTATCAATTTTCTCAGTTCTGTTGGAACTTAAATGTCATTTTGCCCTAAGCCAACTTTCTATAGCATACAGTGTGATCAGACAGGAGCCAGAGGCCATGAATCTCATACCTGTACGTGTTTGCTAGAAGGTGATTAGCTTCCCATAAACTGGCCCCTGCATGAATTTCTGCCTCTTGAAAGGATAGATGAGTAGGGGCATAGGAGGGCATCCTGCATCCTCCCCTTTTCTGGGTTTGAACTAACCGTAAGGAGTGAAGATAAAGTTTATGACCCCTGTCTTATCTCAGAGGGATATTGTGAGCATTAATGAGAGGAAATACTTATCAAGCCACTTAATTACATACAAAAAAGGGGTTCTTTTGATGAAAGCTTGTTACCGAGTATATAATATGGTGGATGTCGACAAGCATCGTCATTAGCCGGTCAAAGAGCTTACGCTAAGTCTGGTTTAAAAGGCCTCCCCAAGTCCTCTCCTGGCATGTGTGGTAGCAGGGAGTCCTGCTTCCTGGCCTGTGGGTCACCAGGGGTGGAGGTGATCACTGTTTTTGATGCTTTGTCATGGAAGCCTTCATTTTTTTCAGGCTGCACATCTCTGTCTCCTTAAGAGCCCCAGAGTGGCACAAGAGATGTTGTTTGTCCATAGCATCTTTGCGGAGAATCTGTGGGCCGAGCCTGGGCCCTCTTCCAGGATGGGCAGATGTTCTCCTAGTGAAGAGAAGATAGGAGTTCTCTCATCTTGTTCCTTGTCTTCCCCTGCAGTTCCTGGCTTCCCTTACCCCACCGCAGCCACCACGGCAGCCGCATTCAGAGGAGCCCACCTAAGGGGTCGAGGGCGGACAGTGTATGGTGCAGTCCGAGCGGTACCTCCAACAGCCATCCCTGCCTATCCAGGGTAAGCACCGGCTTCCACAATCACATGAATTCCCCCAGTAGGCAACTGGACATGAATTGTAGCCCTCTTGCACAGTTCCTAACACAGTGCCTCGTACTTAGCAAAATGTGGTGATTGGATGGTCTGAACCAGAATGTGACATCATCAGAACCCAAACCTGAATTCACTGTCAATTGGTTATTTAAAGCTTCATTTGGATAACCTTAAGCCTTCTTGGTGGTGGCTTAAGACAGTAGCCCCCGCCTTCTGGTGTTTACCAGCAGTGTGTTGGCATGGCGTTCACTTAGCATCGCACGATTGTGGAATAACACTTGTGTCTGAAGAAAACGAAACCGAGCGCTCCAGGCCATAGGCCACAGATGCATCTGCTCTCCACTCTTTCCCCCACACCATCTTGTGGCTGAGCCTGTTCCGTGGCATCCCGCTGGGTTGTGCTGCCTACGTGGGGAGCGGCAGAGCTGGCTGTCCACAGTGGGTTTGCTTTCTTCGTAGGAGACGAATTTAAAAGAGTTTAATTCAAAGATCAACGAAATCCATTTGAATGAAGGGAAAGGGGGAAGTAGGAGGAATTAAACTGCAAGTGCCTTTCGAATGAGGGCAACATTCCTGACATGGCTGAGCGTCCTTCACCCTTTGACTTTTTTGTATGGAGGGTGCCTCACGCAGCGGAAGGGCTCCCTAGCAGCCAACAAATCCACCGTTCCTGAGCTGGGAGGAAGAGTGAAGGTGGCAGGTTCTGTTTGGGCTATTTCTTGATGCCGAGTTGAAAGAGCATGGGGTTTTGGGCAGAGGGCTTTTTGTGAGTTAGTTTACTCCAAGGCTGTTCTCTTTTGGATTCATGGACGTACCAGTTAGGATACTCATCTTATCCCCACCTACAAAGGGACTGTCCTTCCAGTTCTCACTAGGGAATGCACATAGTGGCCCCGGCACTATTGTCTGCTGCCTGGCCGGAAGGATGGACGTCACGGGGAAGAGCCACCATTGTTGTCTGTCTTCTCCAAGCTAGAGTTTTACTTGTTTGACTAGGACCGAATGGGTCAGTGGGACTAGGGACAACAGCCAGAGTCTTCCTCGTGTATGGTAAAACCACCTCTTGGCGGCAGTATTCATGGCCCAGCGCTAGATAAGGCACATGTGCACCTTGACGTGGGCAGGCCACAGCAGCTGTCTGAAAGAAGCCGCCACAGAGTCATGAAACTGACGCTGCGGTTCACAGCTTTCCAGGGTTCCATCACCATGCGTTTCACCATCTCCATCCTTTGCTGCCACTAACTTTATTTTTTATCTTTTGTTCTCTAACTTCTGGCTGCTGACATCCTCTCTTTCCAAAGAAACTAATAAAAGACACATAGTATTTCACCAGGAAGCCCTTAGAAGTCTTTCAGTTGTGCTGCTACCTAGGCAATGAGTTTCTGGGCTGTCTCTCTTGTCAGTCCACAAGAGTCATCATCATTGCATTTCAAAGTGAAGCCGCCCACCTGGAGCTTGCTAGGAACATTTTGTTTTAATAATCCTCTGAGCTCACTCTTCTAAATGTATAATTCATTTTTAGTGCATTCAATAGGTCATTTCTGTACGTTGACAAAACCTGAAAGCCTGAGCTCTCGAGTGTTCCATCTTCTCTCATGTTTATGCCAGATCCCACTGACTTGAGTGCCTGACGTCAGACACTGATTTCATATTTCTCTTTTACGAAACAGACTTGCTACATTAGAAAGATGACAGTGGCCTACCCGGATTTGTCTTAAGAACTGGATGGCACTCATAGTGACTTCCCAAACAGAATCTTATAATCTTACTAGTTAGATTTTCCAGGGATGATGAAATAGAGGCCATGTCTTATTCTGGGCATGATCCAGGTTCCGCCACCTTTCTCTGAAATAAGAAGTTTGTGAAGGCTTTCCTTAATCCCCTTCATAGAAGCAGCCAGAGATGCTTCCCTGGAATCAGTCAGGTCTGATTCCCTTGCTGTGCGTTTTCTAGCCTTCTGCTTACAGGCTGCTCATCTGTCCCTCATAAAGCAGCTTAGATTGGTGTTGCCTTGTCTGTGTAAACTCAGAACTGACTTTTGAAATTGAGAGATTGTAGACTAGCATGGAAGGGGTGAGCAGACCCTCAGAAGCTGAGTCCTAGTGAAGGGGCCTCCTAGCCAGAGGCAGAAGCAGCAGTCAGACATGCTTTCTCTCTCCTGTGACCCCTGAGCCCCACTCTTCTTGCCTTCCCCAGCAAAAGCTCCGAGTTGTGGAGCTCAGGCCATAGCAGGGAATAGGGCTCAGCCTGCTCTGTCTACAGGAAGCAGGTGGTTCCAGGGCCAGGCCGCCCTGCTGTGCTCCTCTGTGTACACAAGAGAGTGTTCCCGCCTTCTGTAGTTTGACCTGGACGCTAGCGTTGCTTGTGTTCGAGGCATGAAGAAGATAGCCCAGGCTTGTGTCTCCTTCCTCCAGGCCCAAGAGTGAGAGCCTTGGCAAGTCCCTGTGCACACACAAACACCTTAAAAGGTTCGAATTTCACTTGTAAAACACCAGTCTGGTGTTGCCCAGAAACAAAATCAGCGCCATCCGTCACTCTGAGTCCCCGGACTTTCTCTCTGGCAAGCTGCCACCTTCTCGCTGCCCTGAGAAAGCCACGTAGTCAGAAATGACCCTGCAGGCCTCCCTGCAGCTCCTTCCCTCTTTGGGTCCTGTGGTTACTAGCTGGGGTCCCCACCGCTCCTCTCCTTCTTAGGCCTTGGACCAATCACCGTAACTTTTTTTAGCTCATTACCTCTGCTTGTGAAAGCAATGCATTGTGGGTATTTTTGGTTGTGTTTTGTTTTGTTTTTCATTACATTCCTCTGTTTACTTTGGTCAGAATTGATTGACTTGTTTTTCTGAGGCGTTGCATTGGTTCTTTAAAATGCTGAATAATAATACTTTGCATGCTTGTGTGATCAGCCAGATCTTATCGCATGTCTAATGTGCAGGGTAAAAGCAGGTGATGTATGGATATCAAAAGCTTATATTTTTAAATGTCGCCACCAAACTGAAAACAAGATACTCAGTGTCATTCTGAACCTTGCTTTGCATATAAGTACAGCCCTTTGGGGGCGTTTGAGCTTTTTTCCCCACATGAAACCCTTTTCCTAAAGGCCTTTATTATTGTTTTGTTCATGATAGCATTATATTTATTCAAAATATTTTGGAGTTAGGTAAAAATGTTTCCACTTTACCACCTCTGTGACAGGGTTCCCTCTGGAGTCTGACCCTTATTTTCCCCACGGAACATTCAGCTTCCTGTTCCCAGCTTTGTGGACTTCGCCCTCTCCTTGCATGTCCCAGAGAACACCCTAAGGCCCCCCAGCCCCAGGGGTGTGAGCCCATGAGGTCCCTCCCCCTTGCCCCAGCCCCTGAGCCCAGGGTGTGGATTCATACATCACCTGCCTGTGTACAGCGCATGTGCATGCTGCCGTCCTCAATAACCGGAACGTGTTTCTGTTCTTTTGTTTTTTTGGTCTTGTTTTTGTGTGGATTTTCTGCAGTGTGGTTTACCAGGACGGATTTTACGGTGCTGACCTCTATGTAAGTACACACACCGGGGCCTTCTCACCCCAACCCCTGATGAGCCAGCCTTTTTTTTTTCTGTTGGTTTGGTTTGGTTTGGTTTGGTTTTTTGGAATATAATTTATTTACTTTGATTTTTCCTCTTCCTTGTGGACATAGACAACAATATTTATATAGTTAAGAATGCAAGCATGCTTCTCTGTCCCTGCGCTTGCCCCCTGGGTGCAAGAAAGACGTGAGCCTTTGGGTTTCCTGATCATTGATTGCCAGGGTCAGTTCACTGAACATTTTCTTCTCCTTTCCTCATGCACAGGCATTGTCTGGATCACTAAGCTACCCGAGAGATGATTAGCTAATTGAAAAATTCTCTTCCTTCCTCCTATGTAACTTTGTATAATTTGCCTACTTAAATAACAGGACTGGTTCAGCCTTGCTCCTCCTCCTTACCCTTTCTGCTTCCCATTTCTTTCCTTCCTATTCAGTTTCTCTCCCTCTTTAAGTATTTTTGGTCTTGATTTGTGCAGTAGATACTAAAGCCTTAGACCTTTATGTTCCCCTAAGTTTAAGAGGATAAGTTGTTACTCTATTGAAGAAGAACTGGGAGAGTCATGATGAGTCCAAGGGTATTATAATACCATCAGTGCAATGCATTTAAGAGCTTCAGTTTGGACCTTGACCCGAGGAAAGCCAGACCAGCCCTAGGTTGTCCCTTTCCTTTAAAGTCCTTCAGAAGAAGTGAAATAGTGGGACACTTAATGTGGCAGAACCTTGCAAACACTTGGTCATGAAGAGATGGTTCAGCCAAGGGGCGTCTTTTCTGGACATATGTCACATGTGACTGGACTCTCACCTCGTATCCCTTGTCTATAGGACTTCCTGGTCCACACTCTTACTGGATAGAATTGGAACTGTGTCATAATGGATCAGGAAGGGAAAAGTGCCCCCTTGGCAGTATTTTGACTTCCTGAGGCCTTGGGGGTCTTCCCTGGATCATTAGAGTCAACCAGAATTTACCTTAGGAGGTAACTCAGGGAGAACAAGTTGGGCTTTTCTGGAAATCAGGATCCTTGTGTAAGAATGTCTTTGCCCAGTCCTTCAGAGACACGTGGGATGTCACAACTTGTGGACTTTTAGAATAGCATAGCTTAAAATGCTGGGAGGTGGGCTTCAGCTGGATAGAGGGAGAGATGGCGAGCACCGTCTCTGGTAGTTGGTGGAACAGAGCTTCACTGCTCACAGCATGGCCTTCCAAGGTGGGCCTGAGTGGGCCACACCCAACACATCTGTGTGCACAGACTTGCTCAAAGTTCACACTCTTCTGTGGCTTCTGCTCCTCTCAGCATAGAAAACAGTGAGAAACCTCTTTTGTTCTTCCTTTTTGTTTCACAGTGAACCTTGAGGTTAGGGAGAATGGATCCCTCCTTAAGCCCAGTCGCTCAATTCGCTATGTATACATTTACACAGGACATCTTCCATGTTCCGACATACACATTTTCATGAAACACCTGTGTTCCTAAATAGAGTCCCCCAGAATTGGTCTGTGGAGACAAATGCCTTACATTTGGGTACTGAGATAAAATATTAATAAATTTGATTTCCTCTTACATTTTTTAACTCTCAGATTTTCTGTTTGCTACACACATTTACTTAAATGCTATCCATTATTTGCTTAAAATCCCTTTATCTCTCTGTTTCCTCTTCTGTAAAATGAAGAGAGTGGACTCTGTGGCCTCTAAGGACTCTTCTAGCTCTGTAGATACGACACTGCATATATTGGGTTAACCACGCTGTGCAGACAGCATGCAGAGGCCTGTCACCTCCTGGACATGTCCCTCCTTTGTTATAAGTCTTAACAAAACTTTTCCTTGGGACCAGATGACACTGTTCCTTGAGCAATGTGATTGCCCTCTGACCAGATGGGCATTGCTGAGCCACCATTAGAGTGGGAGTTCCTGACCTTGGTTACGTCATGGACTCCTTGGACAGGTGGTCTGGTGAAACCGGCCTACCCTTTCAATGCGTAAAACAAATGCGTAGGATTTCAAAGGTATCCAAATATTTTCTAAAAACAAATTCACAGACCCCTGGCTAAGAACCCTTCTGTGTACAAATTCTAGAATGGGCTTGAACCCTGAGAATAAAACCAGAGTCAGTGGGCTAAGGTCCAGGAGGTCAGCTAAGGGAAGTCAGTAGGATACTGTGGCCTGCTGCACTGGACAGAAGAGCCAAGGGCTGCTAGCTCACCATGAGGCCCCTCCCCTCGTCTCCCATGCTACCAGTTGCTCCGCGCCAGCTTGTCTTGGGATCCTTCTGCCTGCCTTCATGAGGTGGCCACTCAAGGTCAAAAAAGGGACACAAGAGGCAGAGGAGGGAGTTTGGGGAGAGGCCAGGGTGATTGCTTTATTTTTCCTCAGTTGTTTCAGCTTTCCTTTGTCATAAATTTAGTATATGAATTATGGACCTTCTTTTCCTTCTCCTTTTCTATCCTGGGGCAACCATCCCTGCAAACCATCTTCTTCCCTTGAAAGGCCTAGCATTTCTTTCACGATCCCTTCTCCTCTGGAGGCCAATCAAGCCATGTGTCTGTGCTTTGGAAAGGCCCTCCCTGGGGCAGGCGGGAGGGAGGCGGGCAGGAGGCAGGCAAACAGCTCTTCTCCTTTCGGCCAGGAGGGCAAGAGCAGCTCCCCCTGATTCACCTACGGCTGGGCTGCAGACTGCTCCGGAGACTCGGCTCTGTCCGTGAAAAGCATGCTTGCATCCAGGAAAAGAAAAGGCTGGCTGGGCCCTTGGCGGCCGCTTGTATGATTGTTTCCTTCCACAGCTGTGTTTTTTTGAACTGCTCTCCCTGTGTTCTGTTATAGAATAGTCTTACAGGAACCAATCATTAGCGCTAAAATACCTCAGGTAGGAGTGCCAGTGTGACCTGCCAACCAATCAGATTGTGGATTGCAGTGGAAAAATTGAATTCTACTAACCATTCCAGCTCCACATTAGAGATGGGAACAGAGGCTTTTTTTGGACAGTGGAGACTTGGGAGCACGTGGCCTCCGCACTGTGCAGAGCCGTGTCTCGTCCACAAAATGGGCCCAGGCAGCCGAAAGGCCCCCGCTCCCATCGCTGCCACCCCTTCCGCTCATCACTCACTTCTATCCACGGTTCCCTTTTGTTTGGTGTCTCAGCACATCAGACCAGGGTCCTGATTGTCCCCCTCTTAGGGAGGAGAGCAGGCGTGGGAAGGCGAGGGAATGGCCAGAAGCACTTTGGGTCCCAAGCCCCTGAGATGAGCACTCACAGTGAGAATGCAGGGGCCTGTGGTCTACCTCTGCCCCCAATAGAGCAGGCATGCAGGGACTCGAATTCAGGAGACCTGCACACCCCACTCCTCACCATTCTGTTTTCTCATGTCTCTCAGGAAGGACAGTGAGATTAGGGTGTAATGATGAACTGAAAGAAGGTCTAGTCATAGCATGGGGAGCTAGAAATAGGAGAAGAATCAGAGTCTACTTAGTTTGGGGGTAGGCCATAAGACTCAGATGTGATAGGAAAGAATAATGCCCATTGCTTTAACCCTATGGAGCAGAGAGCAGAAGAATTATTGTCCCCATTTTACAGACAAGGGACAGTAAGGCCTTGACGGGGGAAATGACTTGCCTGTGGTCACACCGGTCTTGTGTCAGAGCCAGGATTTTAGTCCAGGCCTCCCCCAACCCAAGTCTAACCCCCTTCACCAGACCACCCTTCCTCTTGGGTGTTGTCAGTGAGTTAGTTCATCTTCTGATGTCATGATCCTAAATATAAGAAGTATTATAGACCCAAGTGGGTCATAGCCAGTCCCTTCTCTAAGATAATTTATTTGGGTTTTGGATGAATCAGTCCACACCAAACTAGACATCTTGGTGCCTCTGGTTTGGAAGAACTGTTTGAACTTCTGTTAACAGCTGCCCTGTCCATTTCCAGTAGCGCTGTTCACATGCTACAGAAAAATCAATATGTGGCCACATAATCCTGGCTCCAACCCCAAAGGCCCTGTGTACATGTTTAGCTTGCAAGAGAAGCCTCCCAGACACCCACGATCATTTCTGCCCACGATGGGAGCGCCTTTTTCCTAAGCTCCTTTGTTGTTTTCCCTTTCACCCTCTGTCCCTCTGACCTCCCAGTGTAGCCTGGACATCATTTGCAAGATCTCCTTTTGCTCGTAGGCCTCCAAATAGCCACCTCTTTCCCCAGGGCTCTCGCTGCAGGGAGAAGGAGGGGAGGGTGCCTGATACCACACTCTTCCCAAAGTCCTATTTCACTGCAGACCTAAAAGCAAACAAAAAGTTCATTGAAAGATTGGGTAAAACCAGAAGCAAGGGAGAACATGCCAGATAGGCCCGACAAGGGGATAGTCAGATACAGTTTATGTTGGGAAGGTTCCACTTTGGTGGAAATTGAGCCCTTTATATGATATTCACTCTGGTTAGATTCAGCTCTGACATTGGACTGCAAGGGACATTTATCACTGACACAGGGATCAACAGTCATTAGGTAGAAAGGAAATTTAAAATGTGATCCCTGTGCTCAACCTCAGAGGTCTTTATGGGTAGGAACTCTGAGAGTAGCAATTCAGGCTCATAGGATTAAGAGCTAAGAGGAGCCTTACAGATGATGTCATCTGTCTCCCTCATTTTACAGATGAGGAAACTGAGGCAGTGAAGTAGAATGACTTTCTCCCAGGGTCACAGGGGTGGTGACACAGTTCTTTCTGCAGTGCTACCACACTGCCCCTCTTCTTCCCTCTGGCAAAGCTGGAGGTGAAGGCAAAGTCTGGGGTGTGAAGGAGAGAGACATAGCAGGAGTTTGGGGCCACTTCTGAATGGAGACAAGTACAATGTTACTGGTAGGAGGGGGTGGTGGAAAAAGCACAGAAGTTAGTGTAGAATAATAGTTTGGCCTACTTACCAAACCATGGGTCAGGAAAGAGCCATGGGCAGGTTTTGTAGGGGTCACAGTTACCTGGGAGTCCTACAGGACAGCATCCCGCAATGTTGGAGAGAAGAAAACAGTGCGAGAGTGTAGGGTTGGCTCCCAAACGGAGCAGCCACAGGCATGCAGGAAGAGAGACGAAGGATTGGGAAAGCCGTCCCTTTTCAGAAGGCAGTTTCTCTTTGGCTTGGCCTCAGCCAGGCCCGTTTGATTCACATCCCAGAGTTCCCTGAAGCTGTCCACATGTTCCACTCCATTGGAAACGATTGGGCCGTGCTAATTCCCACTCTTTGTTTTATTTCAAATCATACACAGATAGACTCTGCAAACAGCTTCAGATCGGACAGGTCTGATTGTGTGTAAATACATATGTCCTTTTTAATTTTTATTAATGGTTGCTTCATTTTTGCATCAGTGCATGGTTCAGAGCAATACACATCAGCTGTTTCATGACTCCATATATCCAATGGATTATTTCTCCTCTTTTTGTTTGTTTGTTCGTGCAGTCAGCTGAAGACATGTTAGCACCTCACTCTAAATCTCTCAGTGGAGTCTCTGTTCCCTTCTCTGATATAACAGATGGGTTATTGCTTGTTATAATTATTAACATTGTGGTGTGGGACCAGGGGCTAGGGTGGGCAGGACTTCCCATTCTCTCGGGCTGGGGAGGGGCCAGTTGTTAGGGGATGGAATGTTAACTCCAGTGGTGACTGACTGTCTCCGTAATACCAGGTCGTTGTGGCTGCACGCTCTAGTAATCGAGGCTGTGACTTCACCAAGCTTGTGGTAGCGCCTAGGGCAAACGGCTGTCCCAAGAGAATGCTGGGATAGATAGTCTAGCCAATACAGTCTGAACGTGGTGATTTTGCTGGTTGTTTTAGCTCCAGATGTCAGCATGCTTAGTTCTTAATGTGATTAATAAACGTGGTGCCATACTCCCTCCCACGCCTGAACCCAGTCTTTACCCCTCTTCCTTTTGAGGATAAACTTCAGTTAAGAGGTGATGACAGGAAGCTTTTTGTTTCAAACTGCATTTTGTTCTCATGTTCCGTAAAAGCCGTGATATTTGCTCATTAGAATCTGTTAGGGAACGTTTGGGGAAATAGTCCTCTGCCTTTGTAGACCTGACCGGCTCACAGGAGGCTCAGAGAGAATGAGTCTGAATCCACTCTCTGTCACCAGTGTATTGATTAACAAACAGTGTAATTGGAAAAGCAGGGCAGCAGACATAATTCATCCTTCCAGTTTCCCCAGTTCCAGGCTGTCCCTTTTCCCCAGCATTTGGGAATCGGTGGTGAATGATAAAATCGGCCAACTGAGCGATTGCCTCCAGGGCCAGTGGGAGCCTGCTGGGGATTCAGTCCAGGGCTGGCCCCCGGGGGTGGTCACATGGTTGTCAGCTTTTGGGAAACTCATCCACAATGTTGAGATTGCTGTGATAGAACCCTTTCTTGAAAGTGTATTTACCAGAATGCCCACATTTCTTCTACAGAGCATAAAATCACCTTAGATAGAGCATCACCTGTGTGCCTGCTGAATAAACACTTTAAACATCTCCCTGCCTCCCTGTGTTTGGGAGGAGACCATTCTATCCCTCACAAAAGCCCCGTTCAAAGCCTTTTTTGTGATCAGTGAAATGGTTGCCATCTCTCCCTCTTCCTCCCCCTCTTGCTGTCTCTCTCTCTCTCTCTGTCTCTCACACACACACAGACACACATACACAACCACACACACCAATTTGCAATGGCCCATTGTCTGCCAAAGAGCTGAGAAAAAAAAGTTTGACTAGTAAACGAATTTCAGAGAATTTCTGTCGTAAGAATGCAGACCCTCACTGATTTGGGGTAGATTTTTGCTATATAATTTTCTCTTAACTCACTAACAAGGACAGTTGGGGACACAAATGTGCAGCTGAAGTACCCCTCCGAAATCAGAGTAAAGTCAGAGGAAAGAGTGGGGCCCTTTTTGTGAACTGTCATTTGTGTAATGAAACAAAATGGAAAGTTCAGAGGAAGAAGCAGAAAGCTTCAGGGAGCCCTGAGAAGCAACGAGGCTGAGGAATAGATAGGAGCTTGTCTCCAAACGCTGGACTGTTGCCCTGCCCTGTTTTCAGAAGCCATCAGTATTTGGGCCGAGAGTGTTAGCACAGCCTGTGCTCAGCAAGTGCCCCACAGCCTTCAGGGTCTCCCACCACACACGCACACGCACACACACACACACACACACACACACACACACACACACCTGGCACCTCTGTTCTGCACGTCGAAGTTTCCCTTTGGAGAAGGAGTCATACTTTTCACCAGTATCTCCCTCCCCAAACCTGGAACAAAGACAAGGAGATAACTCTTCCATGAATGGACCTGGTTCATATAAGGAGTCAGTGCTGCCGGAAAAGAGGGGCAAAGCCAGGCCTAGAGTGAAGCTGACTTTTCTGCTAGAAGGAAAACATGGGAACGAATGCAGTTTGAAACATTTCCTTTCCTTGGGGGTGTGTGTGTGTGTGTGTGTGTGTGTGTGTGTGTGCGCGCGCGTGCACGTGTGTATGCATCTACCCCTTTGTGGGGAGAGGTCTCTGTAAAGTCAGTTCTTCTCTTTCCTTTAGGGTGGATATGCAGCCTACAGATATGCACAACCTGCTACCGCGACAGCAGCCACAGCCGCTGCCGCCGCTGCCGCTGCTTACAGTGACGGGTACGTAGCGAGAGCTGGGGCCGTCGCCGGGAAGGCGATGCTGAAAGTGCCCACCCTTCCATCCAGAACCAGAAAAGGGCTTGGTCCATTCAACTTCTGCCACGCCCCATTGTCAGAGCCCTTGATCCTAGCCGAAGGACTTCTGGTCCATCTTCCTTCCTTTATTCCCCCTTTGATCCTGAGCCCCAAGTGCACATATCGCCAGGACCCCAGCATTCTCTAAAACGCATATAAGAGTGGGAAGCATCGGTAGCTTCCTCCTGCCAGGATTGGTCCAATGTGGTCACCTCAGCCACTGGTGCTCTCATACATATAAGGCCCAAACCCACTCTTCATGTCCTTGAGCCATATCTCTCTCTCTCTCTCTCTCTCTCTCTCTCTCTCTCTCTCTCTCTCTCTCTCTCTCTCTCTGTAAAGGGACTGATTGTTTTTCTCTTCCTCAGTTACGGCAGGGTTTATACAGCAGACCCCTACCATGCCCTTGCCCCTGCCGCTAGCTACGGAGTTGGCGCTGTGGTAAGTTGGTTTTTCTTCTTTTGGACTTTTCCTTTCTTCCTCTCTTTCTTTTCCGAGTTGCAAAAGACCCAGGATGGTAAAAGATTCAGTGGATAACAAGAAAAGCCTTGACTTCCTTGCCAGGTGAGGTATTGAAAATGTACCTCCTGCTGCCCCTTTGTGTCTGTTGGGGGTGAGCCCCGTAGGTCACGTAGCTGCAGCAGGAGGAGAAGAGGTGGGGACATCACCGTGAGGAAGAAAGAAAGGAAACACGATGGTGTCTTTTGTTGCCTCACATGTTGGGCATTTCTTTTGTCATTTATGTGGTAGATCTGCTCTGTGCTCCTTGGGGAGAATGTGTGCCCACTAGGAGATTATCAAGAAGGGTCCCCCCAGGGCTCAGGGGCTTTCTGAGTTAGGCTGAATAACGTCCAAGGTGCAGGGGGAAGCTGTGTGATAATGCTTCCTCATGGTGACAGAACCTGGCATTTTAATTAGCAACCAAAGCTCTGACTAAAGTAAAACTGGGGAGTTCCTTGGAAGGCACAGAGTTAGCAGAAAGTGGTGACTTTGTTTTTATAGGAAGGCAGCAGGTTAATAAAGAGCTGCCCACAGAGCCTCATCCTGACGTGGAGCTGACTGGGCTCTGTGAGCTTTGGACAGGGAAGGGCAGTGGCACGGCCCTGAACACCTGAGCCTTGTCGCTGAATCGTCACCAAAGATGTGCGTCTAGTTCCTGCATCGGCGAGCTTGTGGTCCTTGTGAGAGACTGAAAGAGAAATAAGCACGAAGGGTGAACTAAAGACTTCACAGGGCCGTCTTGTGAGCCTCAGAGAAAGGAAATGAGAGAGGAAGCCTGGCTTTGGCCCACTTAAGCGTCTGTTCTCAGTTACCAGAGATGCATGAGAGGGAGCACCAGGGACCTGGACCATGTCTGATGAGAAGAAAGGTCCTTGCTAGGGGCTCGGTCTGTCCAGACAGGGGTAACAGGCTTGCTTCACACAGTGTCAGAAGCTTCCAGAACCTGCCTGGACTCATGGACCCCCCCTAGGATGCATTTCCTCGAGGGTTTGATTCAGGAAGGTCAGGTGAATAAAAGGGTGAGAGAAGGTGACAGGGATAGAACCGTAGAAGAGCCAGCCCCGGTTCTGAAGGACAGAGAGGACCTGCCTTAGTGGCATGAATTGACACATGGCCTGAGGCGGGACGGTGGACAGGCTACCCACTAAAGTGCTTTGTAAATGCCAGACATGAGCATGGGCGTCTCGAGGAGAAGCGAAGAGAGGGAGGACATGTACCCCGAGAGAAGCAGACTTGGGTCCTCAGCAGGTGACGGACAGCTGTGAGCACCTGACCTGCCCCCCCTCAGAAGACCTCTCCCGCCCTAACCTCTGTACTTAGTTAATGTCCCAAATCTGCACAAAAGAGAACAGGTGCCTTGTCCCTTTCTCACTTATCCCTTGAGAACATCGACTCGGCAGTAAATTTACTGAACTTTGGTTTCAGCATCGCAGTGTAAAGGCAGAAGCCTGACCTTGTCAGAAGAGACCAGCTGGGATCTGTTGACTTGGGGTCCATAGGCAGCTGCCCTTCCTAACACACCTTTTCCAGGTTCTCTCCTGAGGCCCCTTCTCAGCTGTCTTTTTTCTGTCTCCCTTTCATTCCTGCAGGCGAGTTTATACCGAGGTGGCTACAGCCGATTTGCCCCTTACTGAAGTGACGTGACCCCGCAGACGGGACAGCCCCCCATTCATGAGGCCTGGCTATTGCAATATGTACTCCTAGAGGAACTCTATAGCAAGATGAAGAGGAAAAACAAAAAAAACAAAAACACAAAAAAAAGAAAATACTTTTTTATACCTCACTATGTTCTTTGAATATGTATTTTTCCTTTAAATTTCTGCCTTTAATTCTTTTGTTCCAAAGATTGTGCATTTTTCTTTTTTTTTTTTAACTGTGGTAAAAAAAAAATGATGCATTTCCATGTCTGTATGTCCGTGCGTAGCTTATTCTGCCAGTCACGGAAGAGGCAGTTAATGAGGAAGGAAAGACTTTAGAAAGTGACCCATTCAGTGAATCAGAAGTGAACAGGCAGAATTGCCGAGTGAGTCTGGTGCGGCCAGCAAGCCGTTGTGGGACTGGCAAGTGGGGAAAGAGGCTCTGTTCCCTCCTTCCCCGACTCTTAGCCTTTTGTGTTTCTGGTCTTTGGCGGGCAGTCCTGATGGACTGTGGCTGGGATGCACATGCTGAGGGGGCAGCAGGGAGGAGAGTAACATGGACGCTTTCCTCTCTCCTCATCCCTTCTGCTTTTCTCTATTTAGTGCTGATATCCATCCAGTGCTCTCCACAACCATGTTGATAACGCACAGACAAGGCTGATTGGCGCCGAGACCACCATACCTGCCCTAGGCTGCAGGGAATTTTTAAAAAGTTTTCTTCATTAGGAAACAGACCTTCGGATGAACTCTGGAGTGTGGAAGCTATTCTTTTTCTCTTTCCTTTCCTGTAATCCTGGCAGTGCTGCTGGGCTCATTCCACTTTCTACTTTGGCCTCAGTTCAGCTCATCCATCTCCTTCTCTTAAACCCTTGCTTCCATATCCACCAATACCAGGGATTTAGGGCCCAGGGACGACGGACTAGGTGTTGGCCTCTGTGTATTTAGATCTAGGAATATGAGGGTTAAGAGTGGTCACTTCAAAAGGGGGCTGGAGGGAGAGAGCTAGAAGGAAAGGACCACAAGGTTGCTCTGATTGATGACTGTCATTCAGAGAGAATCCCGCCCCGCCGCCCTTGCCACCTCTTCTGTTAAGTCAGGAAAGTAGTCTGTTGGAAAAAATGAAGCACAACATGTCACAGGCCAACAAAACCGTCCCTGGAGCCCCCTCTGGTAACTAGGGCCTGTGAAGGGCAGGCCGGGGCACTCTGTGTAAAGTTCTAAAGCCATAGGAATTTCCATCTTCCAGAGCCTTTAGGAGTGAGTCACTTGAATCTACAGTCTCAAATCCTGGTGGCCATTCCCCTAGCCTTTCAGTATCCCCCAAAGACACAGACCTGAGCACCTGGACTGCTCGGTGAGCATTAACACTACAGGATGTCCAGTTTGGCCCCCGGAGTTCCTTCCTGCCTTCTGGTGGGGAAGGAAGACTTTTGAGAGCAGGGATCTTGCGTGTTGCCAGGAAGAGAAGTCCAGCAGCCCTTGGCAGCAAGGTGTCGTTCTTGATATCTGGTTTCAGTTGGACAAATGATACCTGTCAGGTGAGAAATAGTTTCCCTTCCAGCTGTTAGCTAACTAACCAGTCAAATCAGGCACTCTGCAGCATTCTCAAACTATAAGGCATCAGTGAAAGAGGAAAGATCCTGGTCTATCAGATGGCTCCCAAGCCTTCCCCCAGTGGTACTAGGGTGACTTTCCACCCAAGAGGAAGGCCACACATGGGAGCGGTCCAGAGGTGGAGCTTTTTAGGGTTGTTTTGGCTCCTGCGACAGCACAGGCTGTCAGCTGACTGTGTCCCTGAAGGTACACGAGGCTGCTTGGGGCTGGGCACCCTCTCTGGGCAGAGTTATCCGGGTGGTCCTCTGGCCAAAGCACAACACAGGCCTTGGTTCTCTTTCAAACGCTTCTGCCTCCTCAGTCCTTCCTAGGAGAAAGGCAGCCAGGGACATGGCGGAGCATGGGAGAGGCCTAAGGGCTATTCCTCATTCTCTGCAGGAGTAGCTAGAACTAGGGGGCACCAGACTGCCAGTCCATTGGCCACTTTCTTTTTTTAGGTTTGTTTGTTGTTAAGTTTTTTTTTCCCCAAGCCAAAGTTTGGTTTGCTCTTAAGACAATTTTTGTTGTGTGTATATAAATCTTTTAGTTAGACTGAAAATTGGGAGGGGGGACAGGGGCTTTCACAAACTCTAGAGAATGGGAAAGTGGGTTTTGTTTTACTTCTTTTGACTTTTTTTTTTTCCTTTTTGGATTGGGAGCATTTACTGATGAAAGCAGATGTCTGAGAGCAATCTAGTGTCATATTCGATCCAGTGTCATTTCCGCAAAATGTCCTTTGGATCCGAGACTAGGCCAAGATCCCAAACAGTGCCGCAGTGGTAGCAGCCTGAAAGGGCAGAGCATAAAGAGGCTTCTCCCCTGTATCTCCTTTCTGGGGAGAGAAGGGACGTGATGGGAAAAGTAGAGAACCCAGTTCCTAGGGACAGCAGTTTGAGCCAAGGCTCTCCTCTCTGCCTTTCAGTTCAGCTGGTTCTGGCTGTGGGCTCCAGAAGCCGGACTCTGTCTCTCCAGTGGGTTTGTGTTGCATTCACATAGCCCTGTGAGCACCTCTTCCTGCTCACTTCCCAAGAAGCACCCGGCTGCAGAGCTCTGCTCCTGCACTGGTCTTCCTCTCGTTGTTCTAGGTCAGGCTGAGAACTGAGGCCTTGCCTCCCCCCAGGGCAGCTGGGGGTCTAGCTCCAACCCTGGGGTTTCTAGAGGCAGGTTCCTCAAACCCTTGTGGTGGGTCCTCTTTCCTCTTCTCATTTTTTTAAAAAGAAAGTTGGGAGAAGGACAAGGGTTGGAATCCTTGCTCAGCTTGTTAGAGGAGGTCAGTTGGTAATCCCTAGACCCTTCCTTGTGGATCCACTCTGCCTGAATGAGTGAGTGACAGCCTCCCTGGAGAGCTCTTGGTCCAGACTCTGTAAGTGAAGTCTCCCTCCACTGTTTCCTCTGGCAGCTGGGTGATTACGTAGGGTTCCTCCAATGAGACCCCATCTTTCCCTCCCTCCCTTCTTACCTCTCTGCTCCTGGTCCTTCCCAAACTCCCTGTGGGACATTGAACCATTCAGATTTGCCTAGCTTTAGCCATATGGGATCTGGCCTTCTTGAAGGTTGTGGTTGCAGAATACAAAAGGAAGGAAAGCATTGTGTTCGGGTCAGCAACAGCAGCCAGACCCATGAGCCAAACTTTGGGGGTTCAGTTCTTGAGACAGGCAGCCCCTGAGCCGAAATGTCTTCATGCCTTCTCCCTCTGGGGTCTGCTGTTCTCAATGAGTCAGAGGAAGTGAATGAGTCAAAGTTCGGTAGGGATATCCCATTACTTATTAGTTGTACTAAGCAGCCTTTGAAAGCTAGGGGCGTAAAAATGGGGCTTGGAACATATAATTCCCAAGAATATGCAAATAGGGCATAATAATGTCCCCTTCCCTCTGCCCAGGGTAAAGAGGTCGGTGGGAGACAGTGTGGGGAGCGCCAGGAATCCAGGAAGGGAGGGGGCTGGATGGAGGAAGGAGTCTACAGGTCCTCCCCTTTGGCCAGGCCCAGCTTCGAAGAGGAGGAGCTGGGCCTCCCGCTGCCTTTGGCAGCCCTCTAGCTCAGAGCCCTTTGAAGGATGGGTTTTTCCCCCTGGATGCTGAAGGAAAGGAAGTTGGGGGGGAGGGGGGAGGGTTGGGTAGTGGTGGTTTTAAGACGTATGTTACCTGTTTGCACTGTTTTAAAATAGGAAAAAAATATAGCGGACAAGGTGAACGTCAAATGTAAACTTCTGTGTGTCTTTATTTTTCTGTCATGCTCTTGAAGATGTTGACCATTTGTAGTATACACCAGTGAAACCTGATTCTCGATTGCATAAAACACTATATTTTTTGGCTCTGTTACTGTCCTAAAGCCCCTCTTCACTGCCTCCTCTCCCCTTCCTTGTGAGCGCTCTCCCCTCATCATCACTCGTCCAAAGGAAGAGCAGTGACTGCTGGGCAGCCTCTGGGCCAGGGTTTGCCCTCTGGTTTGCTGAGGGCAGAACCTCGTCCTCAAGATGCCCTGACCACAACAGGTCATTTGCTTCCCAAATCCAGTACTCTAGGAATGGAGGGGGGGTCCCCAAGTTGTGTAATTGGCTGTTGCGGGTGAGTTCTCCTCCACGTTACCACAACTGTAGCCAGTTAAAGTTTACTCAGGAAAACGGTCGATCAATTCAGCCATGGTAGTGCTGGTTGGCAGGGATTTGGTAACTCCTGGAGAACTTGCCCACCGGCCAAAACCCAGACCTTGCTTTTAAAGGAAACGGCCAGCCTGGAGGAGGGGCCCTGGTGCCTGGTAGTAGAAGAATGCCGGTGCCATGAGGGTGAATCTGAGACTGGCGTGAAAGAAAAGAAAGGGCCTCCTTTCCCTTCCCTCCCCCATCCCTTCCCAGGAGAGGTTCGTGCTGGGGACTGGGGGGTGGGGGGGGCTTCATTTTTTTTTTCTCTTTGGTTCCCCGGGGCCTAATGTACTTTGAGGAATGTCAATCCCCCATCAAGACTCCCAGCCTCAGTCTTTCTCTTGATTTTGGAATTTTTTTTCTGTTCACATGTGTGTGTGTGTGTGTGTGTGTGTGTGTGTGTGTGTGTGTGTGTGTGTGTGTGTGTGTGTGCGCGCGCGTGTATGTGTGTTTTGGCAGCTCAGTTTAGCTGTATTGTATATTGAGTGATAAATGAATCCTCCTTTTTCTCCCTAAAGGATATGAGTAGTTTTGTTTCTCTCTCTCTCTCTCTCTCTCTCTCCTCCTGCTCTCTTCTCTCTTTTTCGTGATGATTCTGCTTGTGAATAGCTGGAGTGAAACATGGGGCTGACGGCACATGTAAGCTAGGGCTTCGGAGTAATAACAGCTAGTGTAGAGGTCACTTGCACCCCCCCCCAGCTGACCTACCTGAGACTCTGGGCTTTTCAGTTCAAATCATTGCAAAACTAAAAATGCCACAGAACTGCCCCCCCTTTCCTCTCCCTCCAGCCCTCCATGGCAGTGACTGAATCACCCCTCTGTGCAGTTCCTCCTGCCCCCTCCCATTGCCATGGCAAAACAGGTACCTTTGGGGCATAGGGGGCATCAAATGGGATGCTTGTATATTTGACCACCTGGCCTTCCCTCCCTCCCTCCTTCCTTCCTTCCTTTCATCCCCCTACCCCCACCCCATCACTTCCCAGGACGCCCGGAGCTGCTCACCTAGGGTCCTGTTTCCCTGCTAACCCCAGAGAAGCACCCCAGGGCTTTGTGATGGTCTCTAATCTCCCTCCCCTCTTGTTAAGTATCATAATGTATAGTAGCTTTCAGACCATACAGTATTCATTGGGTTACTCCTATTATTATCACGTAGCTGGAATTGTGAAGGTCGGAGTAGTTAGATCTTTAGCTTTGCCTCATTCTTTTTTGTATTACTATCCATGTGTATAAATTATTGATCACGTTGCTGGCTTTTATAAACTCTTCGCAAGGGAGGGGCACTGCCTTGGCCTTTGCTAATGGTAATGAAGCACTGTTTTTAAATAAAAGAGAGAAACACCCATCTCTGGCTCGCCTCTGTCTCAGGTCCTTATGGGCTCAAGAGCTCCAAGGTGGATTGCACTTGGATGAGAAAATGACTGTTTTTTTCTGGTCTTAAAGATGAATAGTTAAACGTAAGCCATAAGGAGGAGGAGCTGTTGGTAAACCCAGGCCAGAAAAACTGGACACTCCTGGGCTTTTGTTGGACTCTGGTGCTCTTGGAAACAGGAAAGTGGCGTCTCAGCAGAGGCCATCCAGTGGAGGCTGGGTGGAGCCTTGTTGGAAGGTGGGGGAGGTGCGGGGGATTCCTGAGCTGAGGTTCTTCCCCTTCTTCTAAGTGGGTCTGACTCCACTTAGTCAGGGGAAGCCAGGGCTCCTTCAAAGCATCATGCTCTTTTTAAAAATTGTATATTTTATTTTTCCCCAGTTACATGTAAAGACAATTTTTAACATTTTTTAAAATTTTGAGTTTCAAATTTTCTCTATCACCTCCCCCTTCCTTGAGACAGCAATTTGATATAGACTGTATATGTTCAATCAAGCATCGTGCTTTTTAAATGCATAAAATGACAGGTGAGATTATAAAGGAAACCAATTACATTGAAATGCAGTTAGCAAAACATTTTTGGTAATGTGAAATCACAAACTTGAAAATACAAGGTTGTGGACCCCAGGTTAAGAACCCCTGGACTGGATCATCCCTAAGATGGCTTCCACTGAGGAGACCCTTGTATCCAAGTGAGGAGAAAGGAAGGGATAGCTTCATCAGAGTCACATTCAGAAGTAAGATTTCGGGGGGACTTTGAGATTTAAGCACCTTCCTCCTAACAGTCTGTGAAGGCAGGTAGTTCAAGTGTTAATATATCCCAGAGGAGGCTCCAAGCACTTTGGTGACTTTGCAGAGCATGAGAGAGAGAGCCAGGAGGCCAAACTGGGCTGTCAGCCCATGGGTCTAGGTGCTCGCAGAGGAAGTTCAGGGAATTCTAGAAGAAAATCACCCCACCCTGAGGAAAGGCTAAGGTAAAACACTGTTAGAATGAAGAGGGGGAAAAAATTAATAATAAAGGAAAAGAGCAAAGGGGAAAAAGTTGTCTGAGAGCATGTGATGGCTGCCCAGGCCCAATGTGTCCAGCAACAGCATTTGGGTCACTTCAGGCAAGGTCTGAAAATTGTGATCTCCTCATGAGTTATTATCCACTGGAAACTTTGAGCCTTCACATAAACACGTGTTATATATATGCATGTGCCACAGCAGTCTTTTCAAGCATTAAAAAAACTCTGCTCAAAAATATTTGCCTTTTGTTTTTCATCACTTCATTTCTGAATTTGTCCTTTCCCCTTCCCTTAACCAGAGAGCCACCACACCTCGTAACAGAATAAAGGGGGGGAGAGGTAATAGTGTGGCAAAACTAACCCATGCATCAACCAAGCGAATGCAGATGGTGCCTCTCCCATAACCATTTTCCATTTTGCGTAATACACGTACCTAGAAGAGTCAGCTGGTGGCCTTGAAGCCAGGAGGGTGAAATATTTTACATCTCAGTGCTTCAGGCAAGTCTTAAAACTGTTTCATGCGAGATGATACCTGTATTGGTTGAGAGGGTTCCTCTCTCAGGAGTTACCTAGATCAATGAAATCACAGGTCTAGTGGGATGGGGAGGAGGAGAGAAGGGGCAGGAAGACCCAAGTTCAAATGCAGCCTCAGACGCTTCCTAGTTGTGTGACCCTGGACAAGTCGCTTAACCTCTGATTGCCTGACAAGAGGATCCGCCATCCACTGGAGAAGGAAATGGTAAACCGCTGCAGTATCTTTGCCAAGGGAGCATATTCCGTTGTATCACTTACAGCCTGTTCCCCGCAGGGTAACGGGGAAGAAAGTGGGTCCCTTTGGTCAGGAAGCCCTGGACCTTGCAACCTTCTGCTCACTCTCCTTGGGTCTGTGGAAGAGGAATGCACTATTTCTGCTCATCAGATTAAATAGCTCATTGTGCATACTCCAGGGGGGACACATTGTGGATGCTTCTCCCCATGGTATGGATTGCAGTCCAACCACATGTCATCCCAAGGAGGAAAAGGATTTCCTAGGCACAGGAAACAAGGAGCTCAAGCAAAGACCTAAGGGTTAGGGCAAGCATACACATGCAGAACACTGGTTTGGCTTGAGCATATGGAGGTGAGTTGTTTGAAGCTGGCAGAGCGCAGCAATTCTGGACTGAAAAAGGACCGTGAAGACCAGGCTGAGGAAGGAGAAGGCTGGAGAAAGGACCTGTGATTTCAGTGATACAGGGGACTCCCTTTACCAATGTGGACTGGCACCTTCCCTGCAATTTTTAGTCTAACAACTGCCTAAAACAGAGGTGGAGAGCCTGCAACCATGAGGCCACATGTGGCCCCCTAGGTCCTTAAGTGTGGCCCTTTGACTGAACCCAAATTTCACAGGACAAATCCCCTTCATTAAAGGGTTTATTTTGTGCACCTTCCATACATTTCTTATTTGATGCTAATAGCCCTACAAGATGGTGGCTCTGATTATTCCATGTTACTGATGAGGAAACTGAGGCTGGGAGAGATTGAGTGACCTGCCCTCACATGGCTTTTATTTGTATATAGCATGCATAACTCACGTTTATGGAGCCCTTTAAAGTTTGCATACATTTTCTCACTGGTAGCAGATGGAGGCAGGACCCCAGCGATTATTTAGTTATAAACCTTCATTTTGCAAATGAGCAGCCTGAGACCCTAGGAAGCTCGTAAGCACCATCCAAAGTCAAAGTACCAGAGGTGAGATTGGAAGCTAGGTCACCAGGGCTACTCACTGTTCTTTCCACTAGAAGACAGCGGGTATTTATTAAGCACCTACTATACTCCTGGCACTATGCTGAGCGTGGCAGATATGGGCAAAACCTATCTCTAGCCTCAAGGAGCTCACAGTCTAGTCAGGGAATCAACATGAAAGTAGCTCTGTGTGTACAGATGAGTGTCCTGTAGTGAGATCAAGGAGGTGGGACCTGAAAAGAAGGTCCACAAAGCATGTCGTTGGACTCGCCTGATACGTTAGATTTGCTGAACTGCTTTTTCCTCCTCTTTTTTCAATAATAGAAAATGTTCCACAAAGAAAAGCCCATTGGATTTAGCCATGAGTAGGCCATTGGTAACCTTGGACTGAATAGTCTGGGCAGTTCCAGCTCCGGCGTTTCTCAATCTGGCCTCTGCCTAAACCTTGTCATTGGATATAAGGTCTTTGCGAATTGGAGCTGCTAAACCTCTTGTCTTTGCGTCCCCAGCACCAACCACCAAGGTAGGCAATAAATGCCTGGATTGATTTGATGTGTTATCGCCTGAGCCTTCTTTGGGAACCAGGAGGAAATACTGTCCTGGCCCCCAAACCAGAGCCGACAATGAGAAGCCCAGCACCTCCACCTTGAATTCACAGCATCAAACACGACCTTCTGCATTCTACTTGTAAATCTCTTTGCAACCTTGCCCTGACTCATCTTTCCTACCTTGTCATATGGGATTTCCTCTCCCGCATTCTCCAGTTTCATCTAACTGGTCTCTCTTCCTCTCAGGCTGCATATCTTACCTTCATGGTTTTGTATTGGCTGTCTTTCTTGTCTGGAATGTTCTACCATGTCCCTTCCAGCTCAGCTTCCCTGACTTCCCCTAAGTCTCAGCTTCATGTCCGCCTTCCGAAGGAGGCCCTTCTCAGTCTCTCCCCCCAGCCCGCCCCGGCTAGCACCTTCTGAGATCACTTTTCCTTTACAGTGTATATATCTTGTATGTATCATGCTGTCTCCCTGGCTAGAATGTGAATGCCCTTGAGGACGGGGACTGTCTTTTTGCCCTTTCTGTCTCCTGGGCATTTACCCCAGTGCCTAGCACACAGTGGGTATTTAATAAATGTTTGTGGACTAATTCTTTTCCTCTACCTCACAGAATCCCTCTTTTCCTTCAAGATGCTCCATAAGCAACACGTTCTGCCTGAAACATTTCCCAACTCAACCATTTGGTCCCTCCCTCCCAAACTACTTTGTGTTTTTTAATTTACTCTCTGAATTTTATGTAATCTCATTTAATCTTTTATTTATATTACCTTGATATTTATTCTTTGTATTTATAAGGGCATGTACTTATATACATATATAAATATATACATCTATACACACATACATATATGCACACATGCATGGATGGATGGATGGATGGAATAAGATAGCTAGATATGATAGGACAGATATGTGGGCAGCTAGGTAGGTAGATGGCTAGAGAGATGGATGAATGGATGGATGGCTAGATGGAATGAGGGATAGGATAGATAAATGGATGGATGGAATAAGGTAGCTAGATATGATAGGATAGGTAGGTAGATGGCTAGATAGATGGATGCATAGATGGATGGATGGAATAAGAGATGGGTAGATAGATGGATAGATAGAATAAGATAGCTAGATACAATAGATAGGATAGATAGATAGATTCCTCTTGTCTCCCATCATTAGAATTTAAGTTTCTTTCAAGTAGGGACTGTTTCATTCATTGTACTTGTATCCCCTGGGCCTAGCCCCATTCCGGCACACAGTACGCTCTTAATAAATACTTGGTAGTTGGTTAATTGATTAAGGGAAATAATAGTATTGCATGAGGTGGGTCAAATTAATACCCACTGACCACGGAGTCAGTAAGCCTGGGTTCTGTTCCCAGCTTTGTTCTGAGTTTTCTGTTTGACCTTGGGTGAGTCTCTCCCTCTCTTGGCCTCCTATCTCTTCATTTGTAAAAGGAGGGGTATGAGCTGCATGTTCCAGGGGTCCCTTTCAACAATCAATCATCAGTAGTGTTGCCTATCAGGAGCCATGCCCAGTGCTAAGCAAACACTTTGTATCTGAGGATCAAAGGTTGTTTTTGAAAATCGTATATAGGCGCTGCTTTCAAAGGGCTTGCATTCTCAGTTCTGTGATCTGTGACATCAGTGTGTATTTATTAAGCGCTTACTGTATGCCAGGCTGTTGGGATACAGAGGAAGGCA